GTAAATTGAAAAAAAAAGCTTTCTTAAATTAAAACGCAATCTGCGGTTATAGTAGTTATTGAATTCTATAACGATGGCAAATTACCTCGCGTGTATTATGAAAGAAGAGACGCGACAAAGAACACAATGATGTTTTATGATAGACAAGGTACGAATGATCATGATATCAATTTGAGAATGGATTACTGTAGATGTATTCGGTGTAAACACCAAGGATAACTCACGAAAGTGTTTTCCAGTGGGGTCCATCTGGTGGTGATTGGGCAGTAAACCAGGAGACAATTTCTTACTCTTTTCCGAAGTGTTCTACGCAAAGGAGGCGCTAGCAAGGGGTCCAGGTGGGGGGGGGGCAAAGGATCCGCCCCCGTCCGGGACATCTGGACACCCCCCCCCCCGCTTGGACCCTCCTGTTGGGGATTTCCAGCAAGGTCGTCGAGTAAAAATGAAATCTCGACCGCCGAAAGTGCCTTACTTACCAGTCAAATTTTAGGGATTAAAAACTGTTTTGTGCGAGCAATGCTACCGTATGTGCGAGGTGTTGTATACTATCGCGATCGTATGGTTGCGGTGGTAGCACCAAATCAGGGACAGGGGATGGTACCTCCGACAGGTGGTTCGTACCCCCGGCAGGGGGGCCTCATAGCTTGCATGGTTTTCCATCAAATTATCCTTTTTGAATAAAGAATACCGTATATCAACATATTTTTTTACCCGACGGGGGATGTGAACCCCTTGTCGGGGGCTTGAACCCATCTTCGGGGAATTTCTGAAGCAGCCGCCCCTGGTTTTGCGTTCTTTTAACGAGTATATGGGCCATATCGCATGTACATGGGACCAACGGTTTAAACGTCTCATCCGACAGACAGTGAGCTATTCAAACACAAAATGAGCAGCGACGAGAATTGAACCTGGGGACTAAGAAATCTTCACGGTTCTGCACACTCACAGTTTATTATTTATTCCTATGATTATTATTATTATTATTTATATTATAATGTATTATTATTTTATGTTATTATTGTAAATTTTTAACATTTAACTTTCCTTTATTCACGATTATAGTCGTTTTTCCTTGGAAAAAAGGTTAGGTTATCCTTTCCTTCAGTAATCTTCTTTTTTCTATTTAATATCTGCTCACGCCATGAAATATATTTCTTCAGATTCCTTTAGGTCTAACTATAAATTATAAGCATCATTTAATCATCATTACCACTTCATCATAAACATTTTGTTATCAATTTTGTGAATATACATTACGGGCTTACCAGTCTCAGTGTTATGTTCTATTTATTTAATTTACACTACGACACCCTTCATTCTTTCACGATAAATTCCAACGGCATTAAATCTGCATATAATATTTGAATAATTAGAATACGCCACTGACCTTATGCAAAAGGACTATGTTTACGGCGAATTTTAGCCTCTTTATAGCTGATACAGCAAAATACAATTCGATTGACTTAAAGTATGCCTTAATAATTCCGTAAAGCATACGGTACATTTGGGAGATAGTGTACGTCATGTAATTGAATGTAATGATTGAGTACAATTTAACATCAAAATTGTCTTGATCTCCACTGAATCTCCACTATACGTCATAGTAAGCGATGTACGTGATGTTTGCAATGGTTTATGATTGTTTATATATATTTCAGCTTGAACATGAGGCTACACTTCAGTGCAATGGGGATTTTTTACATTCTGAATAGCCAAAATCGTTGATGAACTTGCGTTGTGATATCAATATACTTCTACTTGAATGTTTTGAATCTTGAAATTTCAGAAAAATAATAACTACATTCTTCATAACGTAATATTGATAATGCCACGTGATCATAATGCATCAATTTATCATCTGTACCCTGGTAATATTGACGTCTTGTGATTATCGTTATTACGTCAATAAGATCCATACGAGTATTATAATACATAATACTTCAAGGTACAATAACAACCGCGTGCTTATAAAACATGCAGCGCATACAGAAGCAATGCGAAATTTATTCGTACTTGCATCACATCAAGCTATTGGACTGAAGCCTATTATTTTTCACTTTATTACTGGCTTAATGCGATGACAAATCCTTGCTAACTCTGTGTATATTAAGACAATACTACTTATAATTGATTAATGGAATCATAAAACAATTTCTTTTGCAGATTCAGGCCTAAACAAATATCATATATGCCTAGGCATGTGTGATAAGCTTTGTCATAAAATATGATTGAAGATGGGGAGGAAATGATGATGGTAACGGTGATGTTGGTGATTATAATGGCAGGGATGGGTGGTGGTAATTATGACAGTTCTTGACGATTAAAAATAACTGTACAAATTTCAACTTGCGGTCTAACTAAGGAATTAAACAGTGAGATATGGGTATTTACATTTTTGATATGCCAGCAATTTCGATTGACGAGTCCTAAAATCCTATTAGTTTTTAAATAAATATGTTTAATATTTCAAAATTAAGCTTAGAGTCGATAATTATACGAAGATCACAATGAGAATTTACATTGTCTAAAGTATGATTACAAATACTAATAGGCCTACTGCATTTTACTGTTAAAATGTGACTGAATGATTGGAAAATATTACACAAAGAAGCAAGAATGTTTCCACGAAATATTTATTGAGGGAATATCAGTTTTATATTAGCTATGGGTAAGGCCTAGCACTAGGCTTGCTTTTGAAGACAAGTATCATTCAGAATTTCGCGAATTTTGCGCGCCCTTATTTTACGCGATCGTTGTTTTATTAAGGGCGCGAAAATAAAGGGCTATACAATATGATTTCTCTCTGATCTTTTCTCAGTTAGCTCGGTCTCCGGTCGTTCGTTCCGCATCTCCCGTTAGTAAAAGAAGTGATCTTAACGCCAAATTAAATCATAAATATAAAAAATACATCAAATACAGAAATAATCTTAAATATACTAATAATCATCATTGATTCCTTTACCTGGACTAAAGTACATACTACTGTACTGTATATGAATGTAAAGTGTCAATCGCTGATTAGAATATATTTTCTTCAGGGGGGCGCTATATCTCATGACGCAAGTGGAGTATCAAACAAAAGATGCCGCATCACTACTGAATAAAATAAACTAGAAATATTTCTATTTAAGCCTAAGGGAGTTAGTTTGATGCAGAAAAGAACCGTAGGCTATGCCTTTGTAAATACTAACACAATTACTGATAATGATATTGAGGAAGAATTAAGAACAGAAACGGACGACCGGACGACAGGCTGGCAGGCAAACAATTTTTTTTGTAACTCAACGAAATCCACAGTGTATAATACTGAAAACGACTTTATCCGTCAGCAGGCAGGGCCGCAGTAGTCTATATCAAATGCTCAGGTTATATGGGCAGCAAGCTGCGCATTCAATTGCGAACTCATAAATCGTGAACTGAATATGGAATGAGAAAGCATTTCAAATGCCAAATATTGTATCAAAACGGTAATAGAATCAAATCCATCAGATCGGGGAATTAAGGTTGCGATTAGGAAGACATATATGGAGATTGAAACTAGCACTGAAACTACAAACAAGTACCCTACGTAATTCCTCCTTATATACTAACATGCGCTCTGTTGAATTGCATTTTATTTTATTTTATGAAGTAAATCTTAGAAGTCTTTACAATTGGCATGTTTTAAATGAGCGGTTTTATGTATAATTTTCAACGACCTCTTTTAAAAAGAAAGCTATGTATTACATGAAGCTTACCTAATAATAAAACGTTTACCTTCATATTAAAAAGTAATTATTTCAGCTGTGTGGTATAAAAGACGATGGTTGAGTTTACACAAACTCAACTTAAACGATATGCCGATGATATAGACATAACCATAATCCTCATTTTTCTGACATGTCGTCTGTTCTTCCATTCATTTCTTCATTCCTTCTCCTCTTGTTTTTCCTCTTCCGCTTTCGCCTCTTTAACTTCTTTCAATAATCTCCCATTATGTTTATGTCAATCCAATTATTTTAACTGAAATCTTGGTTCTCTTCTGTTTTGCTCAGAACCACATGCATTCTTCTCCGCATGTACATCTAAAACTTCCAGCCGTCTGACAACTTTCTTTAGGAGTCTTCATGTCTCTGCTCCATACAATGCCCGCTCCACACTTGTCCACTCACTTATTTTAGACCACTCGTACCACTCGTAGATTGGTTTTATGCTATCGTGTTTAAGACAAAATATTTGCTATCAGCGGCTTCATTTTTCACGATCTGTCTGTAATCATAGATATACAGTATTGAGGAGAAAGCTTGGGAAATTAAAAGTAGGAAACATTTTTGGTGAAAAAGTGGTGGGGAAATTTGAGAAATGTATACAATATTTTGAGAATATCCAACGTATTGAACATAGGCCGATTTACATAGGAAACCGTGTTGTTTAAAAAAAAGCCTAAAAAAAAAAACTGTCACTCGTTGTGTATTTACCTTCACTCCCGGATCCGCCACTGTAAGAATGACGGCAGATGGACACCCGCACGTGCGCGGACACCGCAATACTAAACCGTCAACTCCTTTGGTTTGTCACCAATGTACACAAATATAGGCCCAAAATAGCCAATTCTATGTTTGTAGCAATTTCCCACTGTAGGCTAGTAGTTATATTCTTAAATGATGGTGATGATGGCGACGACGACGATATGATGATGATGACGAGGTTGATGATAATGACGAAGATGATGACAAAGATAATGATGATGATGATGATGATGATGACGACGACGAAGATGACATTGAAAATAATTAATTTCTAACCAGGAGGAGCCTTAATATAACTGAAATTAGAAATACTAACTCGATGTGCAAACGGCATAATTTAATACCCGGGTTATTCTAGTCTAGTGCACTCCTGTACTATCAGAGCTATCATTCAGTCAGATTGTTTACATCTCCTAAATGGACAGATAATCTTTACGTTACATATCACACATAAACAAAGCAGATACAATATTCCAACTCCAAACGCTCCCGTAGTTTGATATCATGTGTAAGCTTTTAATCCGATATACAGTACTATTGCATCAAACCGTCCATCTAAAAATAAACAAAACATAATATTTGCAATCGTTACATGTTCAACTAATGTGGCTTAATTGGGTAAATATCGCTTCAGTTAAGCAACGCATAATTCATACTTGGATCCTTTTAGCTTTATTGTAGAGGTCGACATCGTCATATAAACACGCATACACAGACAGATTTTTGATTTATTTGAATCTTATTAATTCCAAATAATTTTGATAATGCTTTCAGGATAAATTCTCAGACCCTCGGGAACGTCCATGACGCACAGAGCGCGCATAGCGAAAAAAAATAAGATAAACGATGTAACAATAGGCCTACTGTTAAAAATATTAATAGTATGCTGTAGTATTAAAATTGAAATTGTGTACAACCAATTTTTTCTGATTGACTACAACATGTCGTGATATGACAGTCGGTTAGTTTACTGAAGAAGGGGATTACAATACGGTATAATTTTTCAGTCACGCACTTTTTTCAACTAGCTTAATAAAATACTGAGTTGTCTTGTGGGAAGAAATTTCAATTGGTTATCACTTTTTTTTTGTGCGTACTCGTAAGGTACTCATGCGTCACAGTCAGAGGCGTATCTAAGAGTCATGGGGGTGGGGGCCGATAGGGATGTGAAGGTGAAGCGTTCATTGATTAATTGAGGGGTCCATAGCTGGCAAATGTGATATGAGGTGATTTTCAACTACTTCTTGAACAAATTGATGTTCGAAAATTTCCAATGGAAAGTGGGCAACGGGGGCGAGCCTTTTTTCGCACCCCGCGCAAACCCTCATATACAGTACGCCGCTGGGTAGATTCAAAATGGTTGCAAAACAGCATTCTATCTAGTATGCAATCTGGGCGATGTAATGTGATAGGCCCACGATCATGTAATCATCACAGAATAGGCCTACATTACGATGGCGAATTGTGCATAATTTTTTTCAAAGCTAAACAAACTTGTCTAAGCTAAGTTAATGCAATCTACCACGAATAAACGAATGAAAAAAGTAGGGTTATGTAAAATGAAAGAAGACATTGCAAGATTTTGTGTTAAATTTTGCTTCTCTGTGAGAATACCGGCAATAATTGTAAATATCATGAATTAACTAAAGAGATAGGCCTATGTGAAATTACTGTCAGCAAGTTTGGATTATGGAGCCCATTGTTTTGTCCAAATCTGATAAAAATGAAATGTCTTTGGAGAATGTTTTGTGATAACATTCATTGTGGGTCCAGGTTCAATTGTACGACAAGATAAATATATGAAATCAACTCAAATAAAAATAATTATAATTTATTAAACTGAATAAATTTCTTTTTAGTGACATTGCAGTCGTAAAATTGACCCATTCCCTATAGAGGTACACACATAAATCATGTGGGACTGACCATCCAATTACCAGCATACTGGATGTTGAATTTGCACAATAATTATGTGCATACACATTATCACACAAAGAATAATCCACAAAGTCCGAAGACATATTTCCGGTGGGGTACTTCTGGTGGGTGAATAGGGCAGTAGGCCTACACTGGGAGAAAAAATCCACTCTTTCCGAAGAATGTACTGGGTTTTAACCAGTTTAACCAACTGAACTAACTCTCTATCTAGCAGCAGGTCAAAATACATTTCCCTAGCACCAAGACCTGTGTATCACTAAAAACAGAATACTGTAAATACAATATAATGAGGTTTTCCATTTTAAAAATGATTGTGTAAACATTCTGCTAATCCTGCAACAACAGATATGGTTGGCTTGGACCTATTCTATCCCGATTGTTAGACCTAGCATGGGCCTAGCAAAGGTACCGAGGTAATACCCATTGGCCTTGCATTTTATGAGAATCCATCAATCATTTTTTGGGGTTTCTCCGTTTTCTTGGTCTTCGGTAGATCGTCTCAACTTTCCCTTCATCTTTGGCAGCCAGTCGCGCAACAGTGAATAAATAATCACTCAGTCTGTAAATGAATCCAATTGGATAAAATTTACTAAAGACAGTAAAGCTCGAAAAAGAAGCCCAGTGGGCTTAATTTCGAGAGGAAACCCATCTTGAAAAGAAGCCGCCTCTTTACTTTGCAAAAAATAATATCTAAAATATGGCCATCTAGAAACATTGGCTTCTTTTCGAAACAGTAGGCTTACTTGCATTATAAATGAGAGTCAAAGAAATTCCCGGACGATTATAATCGATATGACGTGTTTTGTCAATAGGCAATTTCAAATATTTACAGCAGTCACTTTGAAAAGAAGACCCTTCTTTAGTTTGCCAAAATATCTCGGAAAGGACCATATCTCGAAAATAAGCCCATTTCAAAAAGAAATCCATAGTGTCCTAAATATAAAGTTTTATGGTATACAATTAGCAATATTAATGCATTGGATGTACATTGGATTGTGATCGTTGTGCATCAACCAGTTTTAATTTCAATTTGGACTGCTGCACAACAAGACTATAAATGATAGTATTAAGCCTGTTACATTCATTTGTATTCAGTGAGTGCGAGTTTCCCTTCAGTGAAATGCGAAAAATAAATCCAATTTATCATAGATAATAAACACTGATAGTACAGTATAATACGATTACCATGTTCTATTCTAAATAACATCACAATGTGCCATAGGCCTACCTGTTGAGATATCTACCAACCGTATCATCTACATTGCCTTCTCTCACCAATGGAACAACACTGCAGAAACAATGGTAAAGACCTAGATTTCAAATGTTAGGCCCATCTAATTCACATACCCAAAAGAAAAAACGTCAAGAATTTAATATGTACAATCAAAGAATAAAATAAATACGGTAGTGAATTTTATTGATATTTTATACTTATTTGATCAACTTATTTTAATCTTATTGTCAAAATCGTCTCATATTATATATTTATTTTGTAACTTCCAAGCACTTGGACTTTTAAACATTCGAAATGTCAATTGTCACTTGTCCAGTCGTCAGAAATGTTTATAGGTTCTATAAAAAGTGATAGTAATATACCGGTATGTAAAATTTATGACATACAAGAAGAAAAATTCAAAAAAACCTTGTTGTGAATCTACCTGCGTTCTGCTCGCCTGCAAACGGAACGGGCAATGTGTAGAGAGGAACTCGTCTTCCCTCCAGACTGTTATACAAAAATAATAATTCAACAATTAGAATGCCATTAAACGCAGTGATGGAGGCTAGACTAATTCATGTTGCTCATGATTGCCATGCAGTAGCCCTGCGTATTTATATAAATGGTGGGATACATTAATCTGGTATTATCATAATTTAATACAATTGGATCTTCATATTTAAAACACAGATGTAGACATTTTGTCATTATGTGAACTTCCATCACTTTTGAGGTTTCAAATCCATACTCGCAATTCGCTCAAAACAACAAAATACCCAGTACAACGATCGGTTTAAGTAAAATCTATGACTTAAATGTTTTTATTCTTGTTGTGTTGTTGCGTGAACCCTATTAATTTGACTGTGACACACATTATGTCCATTAGGTGTGCCCTCATTCATCCATGTGTGCGACTCAAATTCATCCCAAGTTTGCGACTCTTAAATTATCCCTTGTGTGCGATTTTGATTTCATTTTTGTGGGGTCCTTATTATCCGCCTGTGTAGGAGAGGTTGGCATAGTGGTTGCGTTTTTGTCTCTCAACCTTAAGGTCGGAGGTTCGAAAGTTCGCTGTGAATTTCTCTTAAGGGCAAGGCACATACAGTACCTATGTTTGTCTCTCTCCACCCAGGAATAAAAGTACCTGGTAGGATGATATAGCATTGAATTTATTACTCTGTATCGGCATTAAAATGCAAGCATGACTAGGAATATGCCACAGGGAGTAGAGGAGGTTGCACTTTGTACTGGTTTGATTATGGATTCGATGACCAGGAGTAATAATAACATCGCCAGAGCCTCGTATCCCTTGGGAAAGGAGCAGTATAAATCCCTTTACAACAGCAGCATCGTCATCAGCATCGTTATTTATTATTATTATCATTATCATTATTATTCCCACAGGTACAAACTCAGGTATTCTTTGTGCATCCTGTGATCAAAATTGATGTCCCCCTTAAGAGTCAGTTTGGAATTAATTTGAAAATATCATTATGCACAGTGGTATTGATTTTGACACGTGAGAAAAAAAAACATGGTTAATGTAGCTGAATCGATACTGTGAATATGTGAATACTAATCTTCATACAATGTGCTCATTCCAGTTAGATTCAAGTCTTTAAAGTTTTCCTGCGTGCAAGTGGTAAGGTATAGAGTAATAATGTTAAGAATTTAAAAAAAATATAAAAGACTTTTACATAATCGGATTGCTATTTAAACTGACTTTGCATTGTAATTTAGTATCAAATCTAAAAATACAACAGAATTATCGTCACAAATAAAATTAAATGAACTCAAGTCTTGCTCAAAACCGGCAAACATTGAATACACTTATTTTTACAGGTCACAGATGGTCCGTAATTACTGTACCAGTTTCAGATGAGAAGAAAAGATGTACTGTGTGTTGTTTTAATGTTAAACCATCTTGTGTAAAAATAATGCACTATTGAGGGTTTCTAATGTGATGATTTGATAACATTTTCTTGTAATATAAAAGTATTGATTGTATTCTATGTACAGTTCTTTTGTAATGTTTTTTTCTTATTGTATGCATGGTAGGACCATTGTTAAAGGAGTAGGGAAATCTGCCTGAAAATGTATCCCAGTTATATAAGTCTCACACCATAAAAAATATAAAATCTACTTTTACAAAAATCAAAGCTTGAATTGGAATCAATGGCAATGGCAAATTGAGGTAGTAGCGCAGCTAGTGGCCAAAAAATGACCCAAGTAGTGCACTCTATTACCAAGATATGAAACTTGGCACAAAATAAGTGTAGATTTTTAAAAAAAAAGTTGTGCACCAAGTTTCTGACACCTGTTATTTTTGCCATTTTAATTCAAAATGGCCGCCTCTAAAACACGGAATCCATATATCTTGGCAATCGGGTCAAGCCGGCCCTTATTACTTTTCAATTCAAATTTAAACTCCTAAAGTGAGGGACATTCATTTTTTTAAAATAGGCATGTGCTATTTCTCGGCTATATAATATATAAAATGCTACATATACTTATGAAGATGAAGTAGTTATATTTCTGTATGTATTCATTATTGATCAATATTCTACCACTACTATACTCAGAAATACAAGAATAGTATTTGACACTGAACTATGGATTACTTCAGTACAATAGCTGTGAATAATTCGCTTTCATAAATTAATGGATTCCGTCTTTTAGAGGTGGTCATTTTTAATTCAAAATGGCGGCCACAGCAACTTTTCACACAGCTTTGTTTTTAATCTTCACATAGATATTTTGTGCAAAGCTTCATGCTGTGGTAATTGGGTACCTTTGCTGCTCTACTAAGGATGACCATGATGACAATGGTGATGATGATGGTCATGATCATCATGATAATGATTACGTTGATGATCATCATTATGATAGGTGATGATATTCAATGGAATGAAGCTTACGGGTAAAATGAAATTCTTCAATGGCGGTAGCTTGTCCGTGTGTTCATCAATCCATTCTTCTAGTAGTTCAACCCTTGAACCCTCAAATGCTGTACTTCCTGATAATAGTAAAACATCTACAGTATCAGTCTACTGTACACATCAATATAAAGGTTTATTTAAAACTATTTTAAATTTAAGCCTCCTTAATGATTATTAATCCATCATTCTAACCCTCTTAGAAAAGTTATGAATAAGGGAACTATATAGTTTTATTACACTCAAGTAAATCCGAGAGTTGAGAGCAAAGTACTTTGCATTATAAAGTTTTGTATAGTATTGGCAACTCGTAACATGTTAAACTTTTCTACAAACAAATGATTGAACATATTATTTCCTTCAACTTTCTCAACAAAAAATTAGAAAGCATCTTGATTTAAAATGGCTAGACAAGGCAATGGAACAAAAACTTTTTCTTGTTTTTTTAATGCAATAATTAAAAAAAAAATAATTTAAAAAGTAATAGATTTAGACAGGGGTGATTGATAACCTAATATATTTATGAAACCCTACAATATAAACAAATATATATAAACGAAAAAAATATTTTTATAATGAGATGGTTTGTGCTGTGATATATTAGAACAGCATAATACATATTTACATGTTTCTGTTAATCAATGTAAATTAATTATTATGTCAATTTAAATGAATAATTAACTACTTTCAAATTTTATTCTACTTAAAAATAAATAAATAAATAATAATTTTAATAATTTTGACTATGATGTTAAATTAAATTATAATAATCTTTAAAAATCATAACCATGTTTTACTGTATTGCATTTCAATTTTATTTGTAAATGAATTTGAATGAATTAGGTTGCTAATATTTTTTTTTTTTTTTATTCTATTGTAACTATTTTTTTATATTTTTATAGTTTGATCTTTGGTTTGCCCTTTTTCGATTATCTGTATTTGAATTCTTTACCATATAATTCAATCTTTGTTTACTTTGATTGCAATAAAGATATTTTTGAATTTAGCTATATTGTAGTCTTATATCTATTATCATTAATATTGTAAAAGCATTACTTATTTTGTCACACAAAATCTGCATCATTTTTCACTCACTTAATTGGTTATCAGATGCCATTTGTCTTGGAGCTGCAATATTTGACCCAATATCTTGCAGGGCACATTGAATCTAGTAGAGGTTTTAAATAATTGTATTCAATTTAATTTAGCAACGCAAGATAAATACCGTACTTACAATATTGTTGAGAATGGTTTTTGAGGGGCGTTCAATCGAGGGATACAATTACTGTGAAAATTTATTATTGCGTGATCATTAAGATTTATTGATCCCAACCAAGTTAGAAATAATGCAATTCTACTGAAGTAGAACATTATTAGAATGTGTTGAGAATGATGTTACTTCCATTATATTTGTGTACTGTCATTTGGGGGGGGGGCATTTATTCAAGGAAAAAAATAAACGTTTATTTGACGGGCGTTTATTCAAAGCAGGGTGTTTATTCAAATAAATACGGTAATACAAGATGGATTGGTGAGTCTGGGAGTATCAAATAATAATAATAATCATCATTAGGATGTGGTAAATATCACATAAAATATAATAATATATCACACTGTCATAAAAGCTTATTGCCACACCAGTTTTATTTATGTAATTTTAAACACGGTAATAGTACAGAATGATTACCTCCACTGTTTATTTGTTTGTCTGCCTGTTAGCAGGATAATATAAAAACTAATATATGGTTCATTGTAAAATTTAGTGAAGTAGTTATGTATTAGATATGGGTTCATAAAGGGGTGATTAAATTTTGGGGTGAAATGGTCGAAGGTTAAGGCTAAGATGAGAGACATTTTTAAAAATAAGTCAAAGGTCACGGAAATTCAATTTTTTGGTTTTTTTTTTTTTATAATTGGTGCTCAGGAACAGCACAGAGGTATGCCATTATGGAATGACTTTAATATTATTTTTATATGCAATAATAAGCCAGTGATAATATTCTACTATGACATATATCCCTATCCCACCCTCAACATATTTTTGGCTTTCAAAAAATCAACAATAAACTTTTAAATGGTAGCCCCACCCTTGTATATCCCCACTTCTTTTATATCCGGTATCCTCCTATAAGTAGACCCCTTTTTATAAAAGTTAATGAATCTAAATTACCTCTTCCAACTGACTCACAAATAAATGACAGTTATCTTCTGCAAATTCCTTAGCCAAGCTGTCAAAATATAAGAAAATCATACCATGATAAGGATTTGTATGTAATATTAAATAGGTTCAAGCTAATAGTTTTAAATTATTTGAATTTTTTACATAAATTATTTTAATACTATTCATTTAATATTCTGCAATACACAATACCTTAAAAAGTACCTTAATGACATTTTGACAATATTTAAAAAATCTTGTATCCAACAATTTTACTTTCAGCCCGCATACCCCAAACTAGACATTAAGGCGTATGCCAGCATTAAAATCCTATTAACTCCCAAACCTGCATGCATCCAACTATGGATCCTGGGGTAGGAATAATAAATCATAAGGCTGGTGGCCTGCATACCTGAAAGAATGTATCCAGTGGTAGAAAGGAAAAATACTAAAGCCTCATTCACACAGGAATTAAAAAATGTGACCTCTACTTCCACTTAGCAGACCGCAAGGGAGAGAAGGGAAGGAAGAAAGCAAGTGAAACTTTGATCGCTGATGACAGAACCGGGTTAAAAATGTGTGGTTGGCCAACAAAGTTCATCCACTTCAGTGACTCCGGAAGATTAAACAAATCGCGCCATTTGCATTGGAACTAACCGTTGACTTGAGTAAGTTTACTCCAATTTTCTGACCAGAAAACTTCCTGGGCTGTTTGCACTGGACTTCTTTATGGATAAACTAACTGGCGTGTTAGTTAGTTTTACAGAAATAAGTGCCATGCATTTGTGGCTTAAGGAAGAGAAGGAAGAGTCGCGCTATTTGCATTGGACTATCTAGCCTGGTCAAATTCACAACTGCCTCAGTGAAACCAACAGTCGACTCGAGTAAGTTTACTCCTATTTCCTGACCAGAAAACTTCCTAGGCTGTTTGCACTGCAGTTCTTATGGGTAAACTAATCAGTGTGTCAGTTTAGTTTTACAGAAATAAGAGCCATGCGATTGGGGCTTAAGGCCAGAGCCCACATATCAGTACCCCAAACTATGCATCCTAGAGTAGAAATGGAAAATCTTAAGGCAGGAGCTTGTATATCCCAAACTACTGTACAGTATGCACTATTAGTATACCACTGCTTGTAAACAAATCCTTCGCAAAAGAGATGTGGTAGTAGGCCTACTTTACCCAATTGCCGACGACAGCTCATCAGTAGTACCAACAGCATTGAAAATGTCGTCGTCCTTCGGCCTGCGGTCACCAAGCAGAGTAGCAGATGTGCCTGTACAGTACAAATAACACATCAACAAAGTCTTTCAAAAAATGACACCCTCTATTCTATTTCTAAATATGATACACTACTATACTGTAGAACCATGGATACAATATACATCATAATATAAAACAAACTGTTAAATATGGTTAACACATATAAAATTTATATAAAACCATTAGAGTATTTTAATTTTATAAAATATAAATTGTTTTCAAAACAGTTTTTAACATGAAGAAATGGAAAAAATGTATAATCACCATTCTTTCAATATGTTAATTTGAAACATATGTTTGTTCAACAGTGAACAGTCAGTATAGGAGACTGTATTTTATGTGGAATATTTATAACTGAAATAAAGGGTGACTTCATATATGAGGATTTATTGTGTTGCTGGTAAATGACTAAAAAAGAAATACATAAGAATATTCCCCAGAAGAACATCATAGTAGTTGAACATACAGTTGAATAAAAAAATATGTTATTTTATGCTTCATAGCTAACTAAGGTATGCAGTTACTATGAGCTTCATTTGAGAATTTTTTATAGATTACAGTAATTCAATAATTTGGTAGATACCTTTGTCGCCAGTTTTTGTATATATTTTGAAATTCTGGTCATCTGTGCTGAAAGGTAACAGAAATATTGATGGAGATCCAGAAGCATTGACAAGTGGATAAATGATGGTATTGATGATGATAACAAGATGACAATGATAATAGATAAATTACTGTAGCTTCTTAGCTCGATATTCATATTTCAAATTATTAAACTTTATGTTACCAAAACTCAAAATATATTGAATATTCAGGCATATAATTAATATTAATAAAATAATAATTAAGAATGACTGATACAGACCTTTAATAATTACAGTAAGGTAAAAATAATAACAGAAATTCATATACTTAATATACATCAATCATTACATTCCACTAGAGTCTAGGCCTATGCCAACTACCCTACACTATAAAAACAACTCCCTGCCTACTACTGGCATTAAACCTAGCCTTTGCTTACTGTAGGCCTACTATAATTAAAAATATATAAATGCAGGTAGGTGGTGATATACCTGATAATAATATATCACAGCAATTGCCAGTTAGTTTCATAAGTTTGTTTATATAATTTTTCTAGGCCCTGATACTCTTGATTACGGTGTGTGCAAAAGGTAATTAGAAACGTTTATGACCGACAACAAAAAAACGACGAAATGTAGGTAGCTTGCTCCATATGGGCCTGGCTAACCGATGCCGCAATCAAAGTGTATAATTACCTGTAACATTTTTGGAGATACCTAAAAGATGCACAAGAATAAAGCCTACAAACTGATGGAATAGATATCCTGCGTAGAGCCATTTATAACAATGATATCCAATATAGATAGTACCTAGCCTAAAAACGGGATTCGCCTAAAACACGCTTTTACAACAAGAAACACCGCCCTCTATAGACGACCTTAATTTTAAATGTCCGCCGCGAAAATTTACGATCGGTCAGATCAGATCCACCACCATGTCTATTTTATGTCCAGGAACATGCAGTGAACTGTCGACCGATAATATTAATATTCTGAGATCAGTAGGAATCCGTACAGGTGAGAAAATTTATTATTAAAATGTTTCACCTCTCTCTTCGTTAAGGCCTAGAGGCTAGCTAGGACCCTAGTAGGCCCCTTGTTGTGTGACTCGGCGGGCGGGCATCACTCTGTTTAGTAAAGCAGCAGCAAGTGCCGTAGCCAGATTGGGAGAGTCCCACACATTTTTTTTGTTGGGTCCACATAGACATTTTTTAAATGGGTCCAGATTTCTCATAATGTTGTGTAAAATGGGTCAACTTTTAAGAAAGTGGCCCGTGGGTCCTGTCATATAGGCCTAGGGCTAGGCCTAGCCTAGGCCTTTTTCACGCTGTGGTAGACATCTTCAATCGATGACAAACAGTGCTGAGCAGCGAAGCGTAACCAATAGAAATATCAGCATTTCGACCATATTTTTGGAGGTCATTTTACTTAAAAAATCATAAATCCTTAACGGAGGGTCGTATCAACATAAATTTTTCTTTAAAATGTTCGCAAAGGATATAACATACTGTGTGTATTAAAAAAAAATTGGAAATTGTTTAGTCTGTCAAAACTAAACTGGAAAATGGAAGACCGATTTTGTGTAGTGTTAACACACACATTACCATTATTTCACACTGTTCGACCAAATATCATTAGCGTGCCGGCCATATTTTCAAAGGTCATGTTACTTTAAGAATCATAACTCCTTAACGGAGGGTCGTATAGACATATTTTTGTCCTTAAAATGTTCGCAAAGGATATATCTAAGTACTGTATGACTCTGAGTAACAAAAAAATTAAAATTTGTTTAGTCTGTCAAAACTTAATTGAAATAATAGCAACATGCATTATACAAAATCGTACTTCTATTTTCCAGTTAAGTTTTGACAGACAAAACAAATTTTCAATTTTTTTTTTTATTCATACGGTACGTAGATACAGTATATTGTTTGCAAACATTTTAAAGAAAAAGTATGTTGACACGACCTCCCGTTAAGGATATATGATTTTTTGAGTAATTTGACCTCCGAAAATAGGTTGGTTACGCTTCGCTGCTTAGCATTGTTTGTCATCTATCGAAGATGTCTACCGCAGCGGGAAAAAGGCGTATTTTGCGTAAAATGGGTCAAATTTTAAGAAAATTGGTCCCTGGTTTATTCATATTTGTGTGTAAAATAGGACAGCTTTTAAAAAAATGGGTCCACATTATTTGAATTTACGTGTAAAGTTGGTGCACCCTTAAATTTTCCCCCACAGTTTTAAAATCTTGGCTACAGCATTGAGCAGCAGTTGTGTGCAGCAACTCAGGTGGACTCTTATATAATCAGGGGTTGTTTTTGTTTAATGTTATTTGAATGATATCAAAACTACATGTAGGGCCATAATGTAGACTAGAGAGATAACTACTAGTATTAATAGTATATAGAGAGGCCAAGCATGCATGCTGGTAGTATGTATGTAGCCTAAACTGAGGTCCTGTTTATAATTGAAAATTGAAGGCCTACCCAAATAAAATTCCTACCCTAATTAGTTAAAGGCCCTACTGTAAGCTAGGTCGTTTATTATTACAGGCCTGACTGACTCTAGGTACACTTTTTTTCAGTGGTTGATTTCCTGGCTCACAGTCCAGACCAAATAGCCAATAAATGTTCATTTTCTCATACGGTAATGTATACAGTCTTTTTATTTTACAGACAGTTATTCACATACAGTATCAATTAATTTTTGTTAGGAACTGAATTGAATGCAGGTAAAAAAAGCTATTGCTATGTTAGTAAATACAGTACCAATCGCTGGCAGTGCACTTTTGTCCCGCACTTGGCCCATGACATCGCGTTCCACATTCACCACTGCAGTACCCGCAGTCAAGATTTTAGAAAAGTACAATTAACCAATTCAAAAGCCGTCTACAAGAACCCTGGTCTGACCACCCACTAAAGTTCAACCCATGCACCTACAGTAAAGTGATATCTAGAGGGACACATATCTATAAAGCTTTGCATCTCTATTATCCAGGTAGATCCAGTAGATATTGATTTAAAAGGTACCCGCCATGCGCACAGCACCCACAGTGTGGATTAAGCATACAACATTCTTGGTTCATAATTGTAACCCATAGCTTACAATAGGCCTAATAAGGTAATTTAGTATTACTGTAGAATCATAAACATAATCATCCAACTCAGCATAAGATAATAAATTAATTAGATCGTTAAGAGTATTACTTATGTACAGTAGGCCTACTACATTGTACCTATATATATTATGTCAATACGTCATATATGTCAATACATACAGGTAGCTAAATACATAGGTATGCATAAAATGAGCATGCTGTAGAGACGAATCAAAATTGTTACAGTAAATACATAAATTACAATATACAATCTTCCGATATCTTTATATATTAAATCTATGGGTGAATTTTTAATTAGAAAAATTGTCAAACATGAAGTACTAGACTATGGTAGTAATTCAGAAATAGTATTTTGGTGTTGTATAGATGTTATAGGTGTTGTTGTTGGCTGCATTGTCTGCAGGCAGTTAGCCTGTGTCGTCTGCAGTGATGTGGTGCCACGGGCTGTACAATACAGCATGCCAAAGAAAATTGAAGAAAATCTAGCATGCGGGCACTGCATCCACAAAAATGTGCGCTGCCCACGATCGGTACTGTATTGTTCAAATTAATTTGGATTTAGTTTGAATTTAGTATGTAAATTACACAATATCTACTTGTACTTGTAAATCACAAATCTTTGGTAACTAAAAAAAAACTTTGCAAGTACTGTACTCTGTAACCTGTCATTAATGTTTGAATACAAAAATCAAACTAATGTACATAATTGAATTTCGTATGTAGGTAGTGTCAGCAATACGTAGAGCTCTCTTAGCACAGCATGCATCCCTTGTGGTCTCGGGGTCAAACATCTATCATCAAGTGTCACAAAAGCTGACAATATTACACACTGGAATTCAAAGGTGAGCTAGCAAAAGGGTAGGCTTGATCGAGACAACACTACCCTAGGGGTTCCCCCACAAAATGTTTGTTTTCTAGACCCCAGAAAATAACCCCTGAGGCGTCTTAGCGCTCAATTTTTTACTTTTTCTTTCCCAGCCCCCATCCCTAAATCCGCCCATGTGGAATACTTCATTACCACAATCCTTTGTCACCTTCTAGGTCTGTTTTTGTCTAGTATTAGTGGAGCTGCATCATGGTGATTTTAAGATGCTTGTTTTTCCATTCCTGGTTTCCAAGTTTGTCATAATTACAAATATTCATGTGGTTGCTGTTAAATGTAGATCGTCCAGATAAATGCCGATGGTATTTTTGGTTCAATCATAGACGAAAGTTTAACAGCACTAAATATTAAAGCACTTTTAACATTGACTTCATTCAATTTGAAACCTGCAGTATTGACAATCTCCTTAGTGGTGGCTTATTATCAACTGAACTCACTGAATTAGCTGGTGCATCTGCAGCAGGTAAAACACAGGTAAGAAAGACAATTAATAATTGTGATAGTATGTGCACTAAAATCAATAATTCAATTGAAATATTGCTCATCTAAAAATAATCAAATAATTTGTTGAAATACAATCAGACGCAGACCAAATACCATATTACCAACAAAAAAAAGGCCTATGTAAGTACTATGAAAAAAAAGATAACTGATGGAAATATCACTGTACTTGGGCAAAGCATACATTTTCACAGCCTAACTCTAACTGGGTGAAAAATCTCATTTTCTATTAATGCACTCTATGCATGATATAATAGTAGGTGGAGCTGTAATAGGCAAAACTATGTAAAATGAAACACACGGGTAGCACTTTGTAAGAACTATGTAAAATAAAACACATTAGTAGGTAGCATTTTATTGGAGTCATGCTGATAACCTGCACGTGGTGACCCTGATACGACTGTACCAGTCAACTGATAACAGCCACTAGAATCCATTTTTTGCGATTATTCGCTAAAGGATGCTACTTTAACACCTGTGTATGTCCTGGGCGTATGGAAGAACAACCAAGCACATTATTGACTATAGTATTTATTCACATAAGCTTTCGCAAGCAGTCTATGCTTGCTTCATCAGGTGCACTGAAGTGCTACAGAGATGATGCAAATTATAGACTGTATAAAAAAGATGTATCAAAATATGCATAAAAATCATGTTCCATAAACATTGATAAAATCAAGATCACTTTCTCTTTAATTTTTTGAAAATTAATTTACAGCTTTGCCTGGCAGTGGCTGCAAGAACCAGTCTAGTTCCAAAACACTGCGTATTATACATCAGCACTGGTGCTGATTTTTCTTCTGAGAGGTTAAGAGAATTAATGATTTTAAGTGGTTCACCACAAAAGGTATGCTGCGCTCAATGTTGACTTAAAGTTTGTTTTTCATTAAAATATATCTTATAATAATTGCCTCTTGCTTTTCCTTCTTCTTACCATCCTGCTCCTACAGTACATCGTTCCTTTAAAATCTTTCATCTTGGCTCAACCAGTTTTTCGTCATCCTATTTGCACTTTTACTACATTTTGCCTGCAATCTTCCATCGTTTTTATACTCTTTTCTGTCTTTCACACCTTCTGTTTAGCTTGCCCCTATCTTCATATGTTCTCCTTGTATTCATCTTTTACCTTTTTGCACAGCTGTTAATACTTTACCTTTTTGCACAGCTGTTAATACTTTACCTTTCTATTCCATAGGATAGGATTCTCTATTGTTGTTTTAATGTGTGTACCACACAAAGTCCCAGAGGGACGTGTTCTAAGTACACATCAATGTTCTATACTACCTAGCTACATCAGTGCTATCAGGCTGATATACTTTCGATGTTAATGTCAAATAATTTACACTATTTTTTTTCTTAAACAGAATTTATCTGAAGCACTAGAGCAAGTGAAATGTATACATGCATTTGATGTGTTTCGACTCCTTGAAGTACTTCACAATCTTCCAGCATTAATACATAATGACAGTGTCTTCTATGCTCATCTTAAACTTGTTATTGTTGACTCAATTGCTGCAGTAATTGCACCCATAATTGGAGGCAAGCAAATTGAAGGTATACTTATATTTTTTCATACATTTGTTACTGTATGTTGTATATTCTCAGGTATAAGGCGATCTGTGTATAAGACGACCCCCCCCCCCCCGATTTTGAAAAGATTTTTGTGTGTCGGGCGTATAAGATGACCCTCCTTGTTTGACAGTGAGAATTTCTATTTTTTCTGCTCTTTGTGGTCTTGAGACAAAATGTAGGGCTAATCCTCCAAATAATACCATTTTTATAGGCATTTAAATGTTCATCAAAATTGTATTTCCCCGCACTTAAAAACTGAGTTCATTCAACAGTTAGTAATAGTAGCTTCATTTCGGTAGTAAATTTGCGTGCTCCAGGCGATCTGCACATCAGATAAACATGATTTAAAAACCAAAAATTTGTATGTGTTGTGCGTACAAGATGACCTCCTGCTGTTTTTCGATTGTAATTTGCTATTTTAAGTCTTGTCTTTTAGGGGAGAATATACATTATTTGTCTGACTTAATTATAAACATAAATGGACACATATGGATGCAAACATTGTCTTTAACCCGCCTAAAGCTACATTTGCACTAGACACGATAACGACACGACAAGGACACAATAAATATGCGCTCAGTGTTGAAAAATATAAACGATGCGATATGTCGTCGTGTCGAAAAAATACGCTCAGTGTTGAAGAACATAAATGATGCGATATGTCGTTATTGTGTCTAGTGTAAATGTCGCAATGAGGGTTATTTGAGGAGCCAAGCAATCAGACTACAATTAAAAAACTGATGCTGGCTAATTTTGAACCAGGGTCTTCAGCGCAAGAAACAGGAACAGTACCTCTCAGGCAATCACTCAGCTCATGAAGAAGGATGATATACAGTGTACATAATGATTAAGGACTATGTTGATGATAATGATGATGGTGCAAATTTAAATTCTCTATGATGAACGGATTACCAATTACATTTATGGACATGTTTGTTTTTTTGTCTAGGACATGGACTAATGATGCAGGTGGCACGGAAACTGAAAGAAATTGTTGTTGAAGAAAACATTGCTGCTTTGGTAAGGTAGCAAATTGTATGTGACAAGGGAATGTGATATGCCCATATTTGGGTATAATATGACATCATCATACGTTTGGGGCACATCACACAACTTTTTCAAATACAGTTTGGTAGTGTAGACAGAGCTTTAGGTAAGGTGTATAGTAATAGGTAAAATTATGCAACAGGTACAAGAATATTTAAAAGGTTTTTTCAAAAGGCCAGGTTCTCTTTACGAGTTTAGTTGACGGAGGTACATCCTGCAAAGGATTTTATGATCCATAACTGTAGGGCAACAGGGGCTGCATGGACCAGTACACTGGGGTAACTCCTACTCATCTCAAAGATGTACAGGGTCTTTAAATTCTCCATGAACCAATTGTGTAAACTGGGCCCATTTTTTATGTTCTTTATCCGAGAAGACTTTTCCCACCACCAGAACAATAAGCAAGCATGCCACTCGAACCAGCGCAGATATTTAGGCTGTAAGTTTAGACTGACCTTTATTTAGATACAGTAGAATAGTATCAGATTATACCAATCAACCATCTGTCTCATTTAGAAGAGAATTCCGTGTTTTGTTTGTCTTTTTTTCTTTTTTTTTTTGCAGTTGATGCATTTATGTATTGCAGTTTTAATTTTCAATAGGTAACAAATCGTGTTGTGCAATCTGACAGGAATTCAATAAAACCTGCTTTGGGAGCATCCTGGTTACATGTACCACATACACGCATACTACTGACCAATCAGAGAGAAGATGGTACAGATCATAGCATATTGATACGCAAAGCAACAATCATCAAATCTATAAGACAGGTATAGATAAGGCAATCATTTAAGTAAACGTTCCGCAAACTATGGTCCGTGGCCTAAATTTGGGCCTCGAAACATTTTTGGAGGGCTGCGAAACCGTCTGGAAATTGAAAAAAAAAATAACAAAGAGACGTTTTATCATGGAGAAAATAGTTTTTAATAAAGCTGCTTCGTTGTTACAGCGAATGCGTCGCTTGCACACGCTGCTATAGTGCCAGATGATGCGTGCTATTTGAGTTATAAGCGGTTTTTGTGTCTATGCCCCCTCGGGAGCCTTTATCTGTATATTTATTCCTGATAGTTCTAGTATGCAACATGGCAGTTTTTGTCCAATTCCAAATATTTTTATTTAGCTCCTGGGAACATAAATTTGGAAGGTCAATGGACATAAATCTTTATAAATCCAGGATTCATTTAGGACAGATTCTACCCTTATTTGATCTGCCATAAAAATCAGAGTCTATGCAGAAGTTCCATTCTAACAAATGTCTCACTAATGTTAATGCATTTGTATTTAAATTTCAATTTATCCAATAAATCCTCCAAAAAGGAGAACATCCAAAATTACAAATGAATATGAACAATTAATTGAAAAAATAAAACAGGGTAAGAAGCCGCAAACAACACCAACACACCTTGCACAACAATCGATCCAAAACATAGCAATGATGAAGGTAGTATAATCCTACACAGTAACATTTTATGGCACATAGTTGAATATCAAAAAGCAAAAAAGAATACAGAAATATACAATTCCGATTGAGATAACCCTACCCCAGGGGATCTGGGGGCATTCCCCCGCGAAATATTTGTGGTCTAGATGCCCAGAAATAACCTCTGAGGCGTTTTGGGTGATCCTTTTTTCCTTTTTCTTTCTTTCTTTCTTTTTTTTGGACTTTCCAAATCCACCCTCAGTGTGGAATCTTAAGTTAATCGTTAGTTCTTATTCCTAGATCTTTCTGTGATTTACATTAAAATTATTTCATTTGGCGTCTTAGGTGTTAAAGAATACTGTAATCAAATTCTTTATAATCTCATAACGGCACAATTTTGTTTGGGTGAAAACACATTTGCCAGTTATTAGTCTTGCATGTAACACATTCAGATCACATTTCAAGTACATTTGACAGTTCTTTGTATCATTAGCATGTCTATAAATATTTTATATGATCGGCAAAAAAAAAATTGAAAAACAGTTCCTGAGCTTGTATGCATCATTAGTATGTGACACACAGTACGAACAACAAAGGTCCCAAAAAAACTGCCCTGCAAGACGCCACTACTAACCTTAGACCACTCTGATGAAACCCCATTAACAACAATTCAATCTATCTCAAAATGTGACTTGTGATTCCATAACTTTTTAATTTCATAAGCAATTTTTGATGGGGTACCATATCAAATGATTTTTGAAAATCCATGTAAATTATATCAACATCCAGACCAGCATTGAGCTTGTCCATTCATGTAGGACAATAATTAACTGGGTTTCACATGTCCTTTAATAAATCCATACTAGTGTAGTGAGGTGATAATAAGTTATTTATTAGTAAATGTTTATAAATTTTGAGTTTATTTTTTTTTTCAGCCTATCAATCTGACCACAAGATTTGTCCTACCTGGAAATTGAAAAGCTGGTTGACAAGTAAATAGTTTAATGGTGGAATATTGTTGTTGTATATGATTGCATAACTTATGGCAAAATGATCTGGAAAACTACTTTACTGCAGGTGTGTATACATGGTACACTGATTCTCTGTACAAAGGTAATTTTCTCAGTAGTATATTTTTTTTAAATTATATTTTAATTTTTTTGGGTGTGTGATATAAAAAAAAGACAGATCAAGATATAAGGTTTTAAGTATTCTACCATGAAAGGCAGTGAAATATTGGTGGCAGCAAACTAGTAGCTATAATTGCAGTGAAGATCTGAAGCTTGTTGATATTTAGTGAGAATTCATTCATCATAATCTTGTTGTAAGCTGCATCCCTACATAAGTAGTATTGTCGTAACCTGAGAGCATGTGTTTTTTTGTTTTTTGTTTTTTTTTACTGTTAGCAAGATTACGCAAAAACTGATAAATGGATCATCATGAAACTTAGTGGAATTGTGCATAATAATTAAAGAAAGAAAGACACCTTTCAATTTTCTAAAGAAAAGGTCAAAGGCCTTAATTATGGGTTACTCGCTCTTTATTGCACTTAATGTGCGCGCCATACCACATTTAATTGCCATTCCATACTCGATTGTAAAGACTCAACCAAAGAAAAAAATTATAATAGCTTAACTTTATTCACTCGTTGGCGGCGCTGTCAAGAATAAGAGAAAATTATAACAAGGGACTTGTGGCAAGTTCACTTGCAGTCAAGCAGCACTCAAGAAAACGTGCCTGAATAGGGCGGAAGATTCAATTATTTTCTTCAGAGTTGGCTGCAGCACTCAATAAACTAATATGTCTGGATATGATGGGTGATTCCATTATTTCATTGAGGGTATGCTGCAGTTTTGCCCATCATACACAGCCTGCCTATTGTTTTTTTTGTATGCACTCTATGGAGTGACTGTAGTTGAATTTTGTTTACATTAACAGCATATTTGATATGAAGAAAAAAGAATGTAAAACCAGCGTTCAAGAACTGGTGGCCAACAAATATATTGGTATTTATGTATGAGAAATGTATTGTTTTAATTGTAGTTTTCAGGATTTTTTTCAAAGAGAACCAGTATATCAAAATCTACTTATATAGGTTATGCAGTAACAGATATCAAATATCGATATGACCAGGATGGAGTGTATGCAATTCTTCATATCACACTATTCTCATTGTTTGTCTTTTACAGAGGTAGATAGACAAGTCCATGAAGAACAGAATTGTCGACTGCCCAGAGATAGCTGAAATTAAATTGTTAAGTTCTGACTCTCCAGCCATAGCAATATTTTTTTTAAATGTCTTTTGATTATTAATTTCAATATATACCGTACTGTAAATGTTAATATCAAAATGTGTGTAACCCTTTTGTAAGATGTAAAAGATATAATAAGTGTAAAGATTTTGTAGTCCTTTATGTTTTGTTTAAATGTACATAATGTTGAAAGATGGTTAAGAAGAGAAACAATTTTATGTGTATTACAAATAGAATTTGAAAAATATTCTGTTATTGTTGAGCTACATAAACTAAACTAAAAAATAAAATTAAATATTTGATTCAGTATCAATTTACTCAAAATGATTGTGCAGCGCTAGAACCATTGGATGGGGGTTGAAATTAAATGGAAAGATAATAATTGCATGTGAAACAATTTTATGTGTATTACAAATAGAATTTGAAAAATATTCTGTTCTTGTTGAGCTACATAAACTAAACTAAAAAATAAAATTCAATATTTGATTCAATTAAAAATTGTTATGCATATATTAAAAGAAATAAATTAAGAAATCATAAAAAAAAAAGATCTGATTTATTCTGTTAAGCAGTACAACGTAGTCGATATCATTGAATTGTATTCAAATTTTAAGTCTGAGAGTGCCATTTTCGGTCATCTAGAGGTGCCATAATCGTAAATTTTCTCACTTCTATTTCAAATTTCTGGATTCGCCACTGGTATACGTAGGCCTAACTTACTGTAGTTTTTGATTTCATAGTATTACTATTAGGCCTATTAAAATTTACTGTACAAGTGTAGGCATATCTTACAAATACAGTACAGTAATTAGGCGTAAGCCTACATGGTAAGCTTTGCCTGGGCGCTCAGGCCCATTTTTTATATATTCTTAGGCAATTATCATTTTATTTTTACTATATATAACCTTACCAAGGAGGTATAAAAAAAATTGCACCAGCTAGAATAACTACCATGTTATGTAGCACTGGCTAGTTGTAAGCAGAAGCCTCTTCCAAAATCCTTCAGAAAACCAAATGCATCTAAGACTTATCACGTAACTCTGTTTCTCTAGAGAAGACGAAAGTTACTGAACAGTAGTGCCAATAAATTTATTAATTAGTAATTTCATAATAGATATTTCATAATGATTGACAATGATTATTAAATAATTAGAATTGGTAATTAGTAACAAATAATAATTCAAAATACTCCATCCTTACTAAGCATATGCAAGATTTGCCACCCTATTTCAAAGACAAAATATTTCCTAAGATAAGCCATCATATTTCTCTAGATAAACTACTGTGGCGGATGCAGAGGGTGCGGTCGCAACCCCGTAAATTGTATTAAGAAAAATAATTGTTGTATTGTATTGTTGTAAGGTATGAGAGTGCAATTTCCGGGCACCTAGAGGCAGGCGTGGATCCAGACCTCTTCGCACCGTTTGCCAATATAAAGTGGTGGTCTGGCGAATTCCAACTCTTTCTGTCAGAAATGGCACTAACCTAAACCAAAGACAAAAATATATAGACAAAATAAACTTTTTGCATTGTCTAAGTATTAATCAAAGAAAGACTAATTAAATCGGCTGCGCGATAACATACAGTACACTGTTGAGTTCTTTTAATTTTGTTATGATTTATATGTCACAATGTATGGTTAATACAAAATCAATCACAGGGAGGATAGACTATACATGTGCATTGATTTCTATAATCTTATTGAAAGGCATATATAATATTTTGTTATTCCAAAACTACACCAAGATGAAGTTTCCAGGCCCGGATATCCAGTAGATGGGGTGTTACGAAGAGTGTGTATAACGCATCCAACCAAATTTGATATGGCACACATTTCCAAGACAGTATGTACTGAATATATAATTTGTGATTTTCTGTGATTTAAAAATAAAATCTTAAATTTTTACCGTTTTAACCAGTAGGCCTAATCTACTCAGTCTGTCGTGATTCGGAAAAACGCAGTTTATTGAATTTTGAAATTTTGGCTTAGGGGCACCCTGTGGATGTAATTTATCATCGAACGTGATCATATACTCCCAACAATTTTTCGAAATATGAAATTATTATGAGAGTTACGCATTATATCCGAGTTACGCATTATATCCAACCACTAAGCATTGAAATGTTGGCATCAACCAATTTACAGAAGACATTTATGCATATTTAATTACTTTCCCAGCTGGTGGCGGTACAATAAAAATGAATTATTATTTTTCCTGAAGTTACAACTTGTGTTCATAAGATTAATTTTAGAACCGCATTATTAACGAGATTATTAGCTTAATCTTTCCACGTCGGCGCGTGCACTAAAAACGTATTTCTTTTATTCATTTTTTAAAAACAATGGATTTAACATGTGTATAATGATTTTGATAAACAATCATAATTCTCTGTACTCTCTATTAAACATTTAAAGAATGAACTTCCTTATGTTGTGGTCGTATTTGACTAATATTTTTAAAGGGGTGTGCCATACTTGCTTGATAGTATTTGTTATGATATAGAACAGTAAACCATTAGTCCCTTTCATCAAACACAACCTATTTCATACGGAAAAAATACTGTATATAACACTGCTAGGCCTACTATTTATGAATAATAATTTAATGTTATTATTTTAGAATGCATTATTATTTAAGACAGAGTTGCTATAGTCATTATAACCACGGAGATATAATTGTCATACCTCCATGCTATAACAACTTCTTGATTAAATTAAATTTTAATATTAAATAATAGTATACATTTAGATGGTATACATTTAGAAGGCTCAACATCCAATTTTGTAACTGTAGTTTATTTTATCCAATAATCAACTGAAAAATATATACAAAGTTGAAAAGTAAAAAAAAAAGGATTCTTGAGAGAGTATAAAAATAATGCTTGTTCATTAAAGAGATGAAACCAACTATCTGAGATGTGACCTCAACAGTTTTTTGGGAATTGTTTTCAACCAATATGCCCAGATTCATTGGTCACTTCTATGTCTATGCATTCCAACCAATATACACCAACTAATTATTACTCCCAAGCCTTTTATTTACCTGGTAGGACTTATACTGACTGTTAAAGTAGAATTAATATAAACAGTAAATACATTATAATGCAGAATACATTAAGGTTCAATTGTGGTAAAAAAAACATTTAAAAAATTAAAATTTAAAAAAAAAATGAAAATTCAAGTAATAAATACCATAGACACTACGGTACATTATTGTAATTATTATAAGAGTTTATATTTATACGTAGATAATAACATATGACGTTTATCAACAATACGGACTACAGTCTCTTAATTATTATTAGGTCTCCCTCCAATTAAAGACCATTTTTGGTACCAGCGTTTCCATGGCCTTTAGCAGCTTTGGTCTCGTAATTAAAAAACGTAAAGATAAAAGACATTTGTGAATTTGGGACCACAAAAAAGTGGTCTTTTTTTGGAGGTGGCCTCTAATTGGAGGGGTCAAGTAATAAATATCAACTTCACAAATGTCATTTATCTTTATTATTCTAATTACAGACCGAAGCTTCTAAAGACCATTGAAACCCCGGTCCTAAGTGTGGTCTTTAAATAATGGAGACCTGTATTTTATAGGCAGTAGTGTGGTATCTAACAAAATTAATGTTATCATATACAGTATTTGTTTTCACATGGAAGTAGACTGTGTTTGTAAATCATATTAAAGGAATTCATAATGTAAATAATATAACTACTGCAGTCCTAATAATAATTAAAGGTGCCATCCCAGATGTCTAGATAATCTCGTTATGTCTACATTCTGTAGAAAAGATTATCACATGACGAGATGCCACATCTCGTCATGTCTAAATATTTTAGAAGAGATTATCAGATGAATCCTTGATCTCGTCATGTCTACACCATTTAGAAGAGATAATTAGATGACAAGATCCTGGATTTCGTCATGTGTACATCCTTCAGAAGAGATGACGAGATCCTGGATCTTGTCATGTGTACATCCTTTAGAAGAGACGATTAGATCGTCATGTGTACATCCTTTAGAAGAGATGATCCAGTGGCGGATCTAGAGGGGGTGAATAGGGTGGCTAGCCACCCCTCTTCAGTGACTGTAAAAAAAATGGTTACTTGTCTTATGTGTGTGCTTCTCGTGTATCGTATACTTTCGTGAAAAACATACACTTTCTATTTTAAGCTTAACTTCTTTTCAGATGTCATCCAATCATCCAAGAGCGTCTAGCCGTTTAGTAATTCAAAAAATCTATGACCAAGGAGGACAGGGGGATATGTCCCCAAATATTTTTAATGGAGTGGGGAGTTGTTCCCCTCACTTTTCGTCCGCAATGTAATGATTTCATAAGCCAAGTAGATGCCTGAAAATTGTTGAAATGAACTGCATTGATGACCCATGTTTTAACGAAATGGTGCTGTACAATCGATACTCATATCTGCCCACAAACATCTGAATTACTTATAATATGCCTACACGACTCGAGTGCGCGTGTCTTTGTTATAATTTGAAAAGTATGAGAAGAAGCGTGTAATAATAATTATTATTATAATAATGATAATAATAATATTAATATTAATAAGAATAATAATATTAATAATTATAATAATGATAAACGATGAATTTTGCTCTATAAGAGTGTCATTTCCGGCAATCTAGAGATTTCCCCAAATTTCCCACCTCAGCCCTTAGGCTTTGAAAAAGATAGATCAAAAGTAAATACATCAAAGACAATGTTGTTTAAAGTTTTATTTTCTAAAGTACATCAAATATATTAATTAAATATCTATGGTTGCTGAAAATCGCTGGTAAAACGTCATTTTGACTATACAGTATAATGTTGATGTGATGACGATGAATTTTACTATATAAAAGTGTCATTTCCGGTCATCTGCAGCTAACTATTTTATGAAATTTTCAAACCTCAGAGGTGGGTGTGGACTCATGAAATGTCCCCTTCACCTTTAGAAACAGATCTGCGCCCTTATCTCGTCATGTGTACATCCTTTAGAAGAGATGATCAGATGACGAGATCCTGGATCTTGTCATGTGTACATCCTTTAGAAGGACAGATTTATTTCTGTGAGTACAGAAATAATTCTGTGGTGACAGAAACAAAATTAAGTAGTACAGAATTGATTTTGTACTACAGAATAGTTAGAAAGTAATACTTATGTAGTACATAATTATTTCTGTTAACACAGAATTAATTATGTACACAGAATAGTATGACAGCAATACTGTAGTTTTGTGGTACATAATTATTTCTGTAACAACAGAATTAATTATGTACACATAATAGTTTGACAGTAATAATTATGTGGCACATAATTATTTCTGTAACAACAAAATGCTTTTTAAAGCCGTAATTAGCAGTGTCCAAAACGGCGCCCCGTAGTACACTTGAAGGGTGACACCGACCAGTACGCTAAAGGGGTCGTGTGGAAACATTGGAAAGGTTATTACTATTCATTGAAAACAACTGAGATGAAAATTGGTAGATTGTAACTCTAGGCTTCAATAGTTGTTCAGAGAATGATCTATCAAATGTCCGCTCTTGATGAATATCAATATTCAGCAACATCAGGGAACAGTTAAATTTAACTGTTTCCTGGCAAGATCATATAATTTATGTTTTATGTAGTGTTATATGGAACTTTTCCACAATATTTCAGTTATAGATAGAAACAACAAGCTATTCGATGGCTATTGCTGTAATGGTAATTTTAATAGAAAATAAACATTATGAATTGCGAACTATATATTTCCGACAGGTATTACTTTTTCATAATACTTTTCTGTTTGGTAAATTATAAAAAGTTGATCTAGAAGCAATAAAACTCGTTTCTCAGCCCATGCAAATATTGTGTTTAGATCTTACTACCGTGGTCTCTTATGTGTACAGTATTCTCTATAATATTCTATCTTATTTATGTAGACCTCATATGAAATATTTATAGAATATTTCGGTTTTATAGAGAAAGCAACAAGTTATTCTATATATATACTGTCTCTTATACACATCTAGATGTGTATAAGAGACAGCCTCAACTATTGTCGTCATTATCATTATCGTCCCCAAAACAATAACAATATCAATAACAGTAGTAATAATAATATTATTTTTAACAATAATACACACCTGACGTTGGGAAAAAATCTCAAAGACCGATTTAGAAAGATTTTGGCCATTACTGTTTAAAGCATTTTGACCCAGAGAGTCCCCCGAATTTACTAAACACATTACGGACAGAGGAACAGGGGGGAGGAAGTCCCTGTGACACCAGACGTCAGACTAAAGGAGGAATTAACACCTGGCGCATGTTCTAAGTGTAAACGTTGATAGTAGTATGTGGTGATTTTTTTTCAGTTCAAGTTAAAAGATAAACATTTCACTTCCAATCTCAGTGGGAGATTTTAAGGGGAGGGGCCCGTGCTTCCTATTTAAAAATTGTAAAAAAAATTAGAGAAATAAAACAAAAAATTATATTCAAATATTTGTCAGAGATTGTCATTCCGGCCATGAGGGGTGCCATAATCATATTATGTTCTTACCTTAACCCCAACCATGGTGGAGCTGAGGTGATCCACTATCTGTCAAAGTGCCTCCATGGGCCCCCTATTTTTCGAATTCCTGGTACTGAATGTTAATGAGAAAATTTACATTGTTTTTGTGACCTTTACATACATTAGCTGAGACTTGCTTGGTTCTTGGTGTGGTAATCCCTAAACAACTTAAATCAGCTAAACTGGGATGATTGTGATAGTGTGATGTCTGTAGCCAGTCAGACAAAATTAATAAAGTTCTTGAAAATGAAATTCAATCAAACTTAGGGTGTACTATATACAGCATCAAGTTACTTGTTTACAGGACTGACTGCCATACAGAGGAGTCATACCTCTGATAGCTGGAGCAGCAAAACTCGTGAAGTGTGGTACTGATGTGGTAATATAAAAGACAGCTTTCGGAAGTAGTCGGTTCCATATGGCCGGTGCTCTTGGATAAAGGGCAAACTTGTAGACATGTTGCAGTTTGTATACTGAGATTTATGTATTTAATTGGATGATTTGTTGTTGATGAAATGTACAGTAGGCTATGTTGCTCCCTGCCCTGGATGCATGATGGTGGAGAGATGTTAACCAGATTATAATGAAATTTATACATCGCGTGGTTGCTTGCTGGATTAAACGACGTGTGTGGAGTTAAGATCCCAGTTAATTTGTTGAATTAAAGAGGAAAGGGATTTTCTCTTTTATAGTTGGCAAACACAAATCTAGCAGTTTCTCTGTAACATTTCCAGCCGTTTGATTGCTTCCTTATCTAACGGCTACAAGTTAAATTGAACTGTAAAAGAAACAAAATGCAGTTTGTTAGTATAACCATAGTACTGTAGCGAACAGTTATTTCATAGGCTATTTCGCCCATCACATAATGTCAATGCGAACTGAGAACCCTGACGGAAGATTTTTAATATTTTGACAAATTACGAGAATGATAACAGCACATAAATTAATATAATAGATCAATTGTTTTATGGTTACTTTAATAGGTAACAGCAATAGTTGTCAAATCGTACCTTTGGCTCAAATGAAACTCTGTGGTAATGATCTGGTCTGTAGCAATGAAACATACTGACGTCGTTACCGTGCGTTGTGAGGTTCACCAAACACAGCGTACCTTCTAGGGAACTACATCTTTGACATACAGGCCCAAAAATATAATTATCCTTAAAGTACGTAGGATTGAAATCCCGATTGATTATCTCTTCAGTAAAAGTAATCATTTTTTGTAGAACAGTTATTACCTGAGCTTCGTCTTCATTAAGTATAGACACCTTTATAAGATTTCTTCCGTATGAATCCGAGGCTCCAAATATTACTTGCGTGTTGATAACAAATAAACATAATTTACTGGTCCGGAATCGTGCTGCATTGCAGTATATTTTATCCCAATTAAACTCTTCACAACATTTAGCGATAAGACGTAGAAATATCAATTCGGTAAGAATTTCCCCAAAGTCAAAATAAAAGATATCTTGGGACTTGTCCTTACTGTTCCAGATAGTTGACATCAGTGTGATCTTTGGCAGTCGACACGAAAGACAAAATATGCCGACTTGGTCGACTTCATCTGTAACACAAATAGGAAAAAGTAGATGCGTTCCCACTAAGAAACGAATAACATAAGGGTATAGTCTCCAAATTCCCTGCTCGCGACAGATATGCTCGAGTAATCTGCTGTCAACGATTCCTGTGTCTTGCAGTCTCTGCCAGTAGTCAGCTACTGCCCGATTTCTCCTCTGAGGTTCAGGTACATTCACCAAGTATTGCAAAATATCAACCAGCCTCTGAGGGTCACATATGACGTAGTCTTGGAGCATTTCATCTTCTTTTTTGTATATGATATCACCAGATCTGTCGAAAAAGTTTAAAAATTGACGCAACTCATCCTCTGTCATGATGTTACATGTAGATTTTGCTTCCTCAAAAATGATATCCAGCTTCGTGATAAAAGTGTTTTGTTGGCGAAATCTATTCAATGTTTCATTGAATAAAAGATATTTTACTGAAAAATAATCCTGAAAATACGTCATATTGGTAATTTCATTGTAGATTACTTCTCGTATCGTGTTAATTTCTTTGTCTGTTCTCAGTGCGTTTTCAACGTAAAAAAAATACCTCCAAGTGGATGAAACGTGATCAACTTAGAAAAACGTCTGTAAAGATGTGCTTTTGCTAATATTGAGAAATCTGATAGAGCATTCATGTCACGAACACTTTCTCTTCTTGTTCCTATAAGCAAGACTACTACATTCTTAACTTCTGCATGCATAGCAACTGATTGCAACCAGAAATGCAGTCGTTTGAGTTGTTTTGCAGGATTTATAACAGCTTCAATGGCATTAAAAACAATCAGATATGCACCCTGCATTGGCATGAACAGATGATGTGTATTATAGTACATTTCTTGTCCTGCAAAGTCCCATAAGCTGAGTCTAGCATCCAAATATGATTCTTTACGGATGTTTGCCTTCATAGATTGGACTATATGCTTTAGCGGTACAGAAAATGTATTCCTGACTTTCAGGTACGCTAAACATTCATAAACAATGAATAATATTAATGGAACGATAAATAGGAATGAAGATAGCAAATGACGTTGGATCGATGTCTGTTGATGGTCGGCTAAATATAGAACTCCCAAGTCTACGAATTCCCATCCTAGAAATCTTGCCATGCATATTCCAAAAATAAAACTTATTGTTTTCTTGATAATATAGCTTTCAGGTACGTACCCATATGTAGAAGATAACCTACCAATTAAAGCACCTCCACACACCAATATGCTATTCACTACGGTAATAAAATAAACGAATAACCTTAGGGAATACCCTTCCATGTATAGAATTCCAATAACTACTTTGAAAATAACAATGAATGTTACAAATACACGTTTCATCCAGCTCAACTGCAAATATTTAACGTGAACACACCTGAATATCATAACAACGAAACATGCTATCATGGAAAGCAACAATTCTAAAGATGAGTTCTGTACTATATTATTTAACCGCTCAGTTATATTTGTATGCGGTAATTCTTCTTGTGGATGAACCATAAAGCAAAGTGCTACGCATACACCGGTCCGGCCACCACTGCTAATCATAAAACCAGTTATAATGCTTAAGACTGCATACAATATTATTTTCATAATAATATTGATCAATTCATCCAGTTTCATATCTTGTAAATCTTGGTCAAAATCGGTTAAGTACGTAGCGCCATCAATAATCACAGATCCTATAGCGTATCCGGAACCAAGACGGTACGCAGTGTGAACGTCAGATACAAACGTCAAACTAATGATGTAGAACCATGCAACTAACCCAAAGCCAAAGGTCAGACCTCTGAATAGAAAAATAAAGAAGATTGGTAAAAGCAGGAATCCCTGATAAATTACATCTTCAACAATGGTCCAACGTTTCTCGTTTGTCTTGTGCACGTATGATACTGCCCACCATGCTGCTGAGCTTTCATAATCTTCTAGTGGTGTGTTTGATACTTCGCACCACCTACTATTCACATCACTAACTTTTGCTTTGACAGTATTTGTTTCGATTCCTACGGTGCTAGATTCATCCTTTCGAAAATCTCTTCCTTGCAGTCGTCTGCATGTGGATGTCTTTCCTGCACCGTGATCTCCTAAAATGAGGATTTTAGACCTGTTAAAAGGAAGTCTCCCTTTAATCTTTGCTTCTTCATAGGCTGATTTAATCTCCTTATCGTCCACCAGTACACGCAAATTATAACTACGTTCATATGCGTAGAAACCACGTAGATAACGTTCTGATTTTGCATTCATCATCTCAATATACCAGGCTGTTTCTGTCGAATTCTGCTTCCAAATGTTAAATTGGTTTGTATAATGTCGCTTAGGTGGTCTATATGAAAAGAAAACAATCCACGTATTATTATCAAAAACACTTTATGATACAGTGTCAAATGTCGAAACTTAATTTCTTAGAAAACATAAGTAATAACATTTTATGTTGACTGCAAACACGAAAAAGTAGAGCTGGGGGGTTTTTTTTTACCAGAAATTCAAATAAAATACAAATACGTTTCTACAAGAAATGATGAAACCAAAGTAAAATGGTAACAGTATAATTACGCAATTGTCATAAATTATTGTTGTATCGTTGTAAGTTATGTTGATGCCTGTTAGAAAACAAGTCAAATTAACTTATATCTATTATGCTTAGGCCTATTCTATGTTTCTAAGTATTCGTAGTCATCGTCGTCACCATAATATAATTATTGTCATTATGAAGTATTGGGCCTATACTTTACTTAGGCATAACGCCCGTCTTGTGCAATCATCAACAAGTAAACACATGTCATTTCGTACAAGGTGTTTTATGTTGGTAGAGTAAATAGATGTATGCGTAAGTGACAATACAATCTTAATCATTATTTTTTCAGACATAAATTTCGCACGTCATCGACATTTTTCACAAAACCTGCTCTAAAAATACGAAACTACTATATATTCATGCTATTATATAAAAATATAGCGCCTGCAATCGTCACTTTCTCAATCAATCAATCAACCAATTAGTAGTTGCTAAATACAATTTAAAAACATCACACACACACATTTATACTGTACATATATACATCAGCATTCTTCAATGTCTGTCTCTTATACACATCTAGATGTGTATAAGGGACAGCTTGTATACAGTGCATTATGCATGACAAAAAGCTTTTACGTAAACTTGAATGAAAGAATGCAAGAAAAAAAAAAAAAAAAAAAAAAAACCACATGACACCAACCATCCATGCCAATCAGAAGTAAGTTAGAGGTCAAAGGTCCCCATCCAGATCGTTTCTGTTGGTCCGTTACCCACGTCCAGTTGAACTTGATGAAATCTTCAACAATCTTTCTGCCTACACCTTCTGTTAATGTTTGTTGTAAGTAATATCTAATGGGAAAAAACAAAATCTGGTATAGGGACATCAAAGTAAAAAATCTTGAACAATTTAATAAATATACAATAATCTCACATGCGGCTTCTACAGTGGTAGAGATTCCAGTGGGTTGGGGCATACCCATACACAAAAAAATAGCAATTCGTTTGTTGGTCAATTCACAGATTAAAACTCAATAAAATTGATGACTTAATAAAAAAAAGATTATTGTTATTGTTTTACATTGTTTATTCTTAGCCATTCCGACCCTCTTATTGTTATTGATTTAGTGTCAGTCGTAGTGGTAATAATAATAAGTATGAACAAATGTTATTACTCACCCACTGCACTAGTCAGGATATTTCGGCTCCATTCCCCGGAGCCCTCTTCACCTCTCTAGCTTCGTATCGTAACAAAGGAGTGTGTTTTCAGGCCAGTGTCGTCGTCTACCTGCTGATTTTACGCATGGCCAGTTATGATCAAACGTAGGACTCACTCAGCAGCTTGTATATGACGTAATCACATCACTTTCCAGTACATTATTTAATTGTTCGTTGAAAACAATAATAACGCAACTGAATGTCATGAGTAAAATAATGATGAAAAGGAATTAAATAAACCAATAGAGCTAAAGCTCCGAATTCCTTCTCACTTTTGTTGTCCCCACTCGTCTTTCTGTTAATTCCGGTTCCTCTATCCTTATCCAGCTCTCTGCTTGATCATTAACCTGTCTAAGCATTGGATTGCAGTGCATCCCCCCGCTATGTTTACTAATCACTTCAACTTTAATATCTTTCATTTCTCCCTGGTGTTTTTCCATCATATGTTGGTAAAAAGGTGAGCTCTTAATTATCTTTCTTCTTATATTTCCCTATTATGTTCGTTATATCTTTCTCCCAGGCTTCTTGCCTTCTCGTTGCTTCCGTTTACATCCACCGCATTGTATTTTATACACCACTTCTCTTTGTTTACAATAACATTGCCTCCTTCTTTGCATATGGAGCACTTTTCTCCCACACATCTCATTTTTTTCGAATGGTTTGGACTTTACTAATATGCTCTTGACATTTTCTCCTGATCTCTCAATCACTTTAATGTTCAATCTACTTGACTTTATTATCCTAGAGACATACAACTCTTTAGGACGATATTTATGTCGTCAACGTACCTCTTGTATATCATACACTCTATACCTCTATCAAGTAATCTTCGTCTCAAGGCCTTACCCCACCATATCCTGGGGCGGATGCAGGATTTGGCGGTAGGGGGTGCGTGAGGGTTCACATCACTGCCCCCACCATGGTTATGGCTGAGGGAATAGAACATTTTTGAGAATAGGGACCTCTCAGGCGCGGATCCAGAGTTTTAGCTCGGTTTCCATAGAATCGCTCACCCTATCGGCGATAGTCGTGACAGTTGTGGTTCACAGACGAATCGGGGTGCCTTCCCGATTGCGCAGGGCAGCTACCAATGCACCCTGATTCGTTTGCGTCTGCAACGCAATCGGAAAAACCAGGTTCAACTTCCCTACAACTGTCGGCGACTGTCGCCGATAGTGTGAGCGATTATATGGAAACCGAGCTTTACCCTGACTATCGCACATAATGGGGTCCCTCAGTGGGCGGGGTCATGGGATGAGAACGTAATGTTTGCTTGTTCCGTCGCTGGAAGACTATTTTAGATGTGGGGCGGGGTGGGGGTGGTTTGCAATTAATAATTGCGATGATGAAGATGATGATAATGATGATGATGTGATGATGATAAGCAGGAGGAGGAGGCATCGTAGCAGGTGATGACAGTCTCCTGTGCAAGGCTATTTAACAGGGCCCTTTGATATGAGTGTCAACCGAGGCCCGTATCCAGAGTTCGTCGTCACATTTTCAATGCACACAATCGGACAACAGTAATTAGGCCTATCTACAGTTTATGTAATCAGTACATTCTCGACTGTCATGAAAATATTTTTACAAAATTACTTTATATGCATGTTCGGAAGCTTAAAGTTTAACCTAAAAGTTTGATATATGTTTCACGTTGTTTGTTTAATGATATTATATTCTAATATGACCACAACATAAGGAAAATGTCAAAACTGAATAAATTGCGTTTTTCCGAATCACGACAGACTGAGTAGATTTAGGCCTACTAGTTAAATGTAAAAAATGAAGATTTTATTTACAGAAAATCACAAATTATATATTCAGTACATTCTCGACTGTCTTGGAAATGTGGACCTTATCAAATTTGGTTGGGTGCGTTATACACACTCTTCGTTAACACCCCACCTATATTATTATACGTATATGCCTTTCAAAAAGGTTATACAAATCAACGCACATGTATAGCCTATCCTCCCTGTGATTTATTTTGTATTAACCATACATTGTGACATAAATCATAATAATAAAAAAACTCGTCAGTGTACCGTACGTTATCGCGCAGCAGACTAAATTACAGTCTCTCTTTCATTGATACTTAGGCAATGCAAAAAGTTTATTTTGTCTAGGCCTATATATTTTTGTCTTTGGTTTAGGTCGGTGGCATTTCTGACAGAAAGCGTAAAAATGGAGTCTTCTCCATGAATTCCATCTAATTTCTGTTTTGGGGTTTCCACTTGATCCTGTGAAAGTTGTCCAAGTCCAAGCTCTCCACACACGGGGCAGAAATCTCGGAGATCCTGGGGTACCACTCGCAGTTTGGTATCGGCCTCTATTAAACTTAGGAACAATCCAGGTTCTTTCACATCTATATCTATGAACTGTAAATCGCTCTCTTCCATTACTTCTCCACATCTTTCGAAGGGTATAGAGCTCTAACACATCCATGCTACCAAATACATGATCTCAGATCACACGTGTCATTGCATCTATTCATCTCAAGTAATATTGCGACTACACTATTGTGAGTGGAAATAATACCGTCTAATTTACGATCAAACAGAGGGAGGGAGCACACAAAACATTAGTTAGCATTTTGATTTCACAAACATAAAGGTGATTTATTTAATTTATCATTATCAGTGGAGGCTCCAGGAAAGCAAATTAAGGGGGGGGGGGACAGGGAGAGACTTGCACAATTTGGGAAATTAGAGCACCTCAGCCCCACCATGGTTGGGGCTGAGGAAAGAAAATTTATGATTATGACACCTCTAGATTGCCGGAAATGGCACTCTCAGACCTAAATTCTAATTATAATTTTCCTTTGATTTTTTTTTCCATTTTTAAAAATAATTTTGAAAAATTTAGGGTCAGCTCGGCCCCACTTGAATCCGCCACTGATTATTATGACGTCATTGCGAGATTGCGTCAACGTAACACTGGAGTTTGTAAACTTTTGGTAGGCCTATCACTTATTCGAATTAGATAGACAGATCCGTGTCAAAGGCTGTATAATTATTGTTTAATAATGGCTATATAAAATTCAATTGACTAACTATAATTTTTTGAAATTAGGAAAAACAGTAATTCTATGTATGTAGATAATATTAAACACTAGCATAACGTACGGGTTATAATAATATACAAAAGGAATAAATCGTTTATTGTAGAAATTGTGCACTTTTGAGTTTGTAAAAATATTGGTCTAATAAGTATACACGCTTCCAATTTTAACAACGTTCAGTACATTGTTTTCACAATAAATTTAGCTTCTGATAACCGTTGCAACCATAAAATCGATCTAGTGGTTTCTGAGATGGTTACAAAATGTATAAACAATTGCGTTTTTACTCGGTTTTGGTCCGGAAAATACGTACCGCACTTAGAAAAGTGAACAGACAAAATTCATGAGTCATGCGTAATTGTTATTCTTTCCATTCGCTTTTAAAAGTGGGGATTTAATTATAGACGATTGGTGAAAAGTGGGGGAGGGGGTCAATCGATATGCGTGTATTTCTTGTAAGATATTTAATTATCACGAATAAAGTAAGTCAACCAAATAGTTTTAATGTTTTATTATAACTTTTCCCACGTCGTCACTAACAAAAACAACATTGACAGTTGATTTGAGAGAAAGGCCATGCTGTATGTACGAGCCACTCTACAAAGTACGGTATGAGATGGATCAGGGTGTGGATGCAGAGAGCATTCGCATCCTCGCTCGTACGTACAGTGGTCATGATATGAGTAAACTAAAAATAATGCAAATGGCCCAATTCCGGCGCATGATATTTTTTGGAAAAGATAACAATAATTCAATAATCTATTTAATGATTGAAATAAATATATATTGTATCAAGTTATATGTTTAATATAATTTTTTTTTTCTCAAACCTCCGTGGTTCAAACTCCATGGACGTGGTTCAACCATGGAGGATATATATTAATATATTTCAACCATGGAGGAAATATATTAATATATTTCCTCCATGGTTTAACGTACAAATTCGGGGATTCCCCGTATGCGTTGATTTGCCGTCGATTCGATCATGGACCTATTAATAAGATTATTAATAGGTCCATGATTCGATCGTGCGTTGCTCAGTAACAACTTTCATTTTAACATGACTAAACAATTAAAAGCTTGGAAAAGATATGATTTTCGTTCACCGTTAATTTAGCTTCAGGCACCTCGGCAAATTGAAGAATGCCGACGCTAATTTCGAGGGCTGTAGCAATGTAGATTATTATTACATTGTACTGTATACAAATACAATATTTAGATAATAAGAACGTGTATTCAATTATAGAAAAGTTAGCCCTAACGAAGGACAGTGCTCTGTCCCAAAAAGCTAGGCATTTATCTCACTGGCTGTTTTACTTTTACGTTTAAATTTTAGCTTTTGATTACCAATTTTGTATCTCATTGTTTATTTCAGTATTTTGATTTTTTGGATTATAAGTAGAAGTTGTTATAACTTTTTTTTTGTATACTTGCAATTAAAAATACCTGCATGAAGAAAAGGCACAGTATTAGCTGTTATGTAGATGAAAGTAAGAAAACTAGTTAGTAGATAGAATCAGATTGCTGAACTGCAATTGAATGTAAAAAGTTTAAAAAAGAAACACTGTGAAAGAAAATACATAATTACAGTACAAACAGTGTATGATGTGCTATCCATTTATTTATTGTTATTGAAAATTAAATTAACCACAAAAGTGTTTGACTGTTAGATTTTTACTTTAAAATAGTGTTTAATACATTCTAAAATCAAACATTGCAACACAATTCAAAACTGAAAATTCAACACTTTTAAATGGCATCTTACAGTAGTACTTATTTTTTCATTTTTTCCTTGGGTAGGGAGGGGGACACCCGATCCCAAACCCACCCCCGCTCAGTTTTAAATGCCAATTCAAACACTGTTAAATGGCATCTTACAGTAATTATTTTTCATTTTTTTCCTAGGTAGGGAGGTAGGGAGGGGGACACCACCTCCCAAACCCACCCCCGCTCCGGCCAAACAGCCCTCGGATGTCGCTCTACGATATGTTCCTCCGCCTATTACTAAAACTCCTGTTATTTCATTTCAAAAAAATTTCATTGGTAAATGTAAACAGTGTAGTAAATGTCTCTTATACACATCTAGATGTGTATAAGAGACAGATATTAACGACTGCAACATGTTGCAGACAGAAAATATGACATGTTTAAGGAATAATATATAAATTTTAAAAAAAATGAAAAAATACATTTGGTTCCTCATCTTTGTTGAGTGCGTCTATAACTGTTTATTTTCCTTAACATTAATTATAAATATTCAAACATGAATATTATATTTTTTTAAACTAATTTACATCACTCAATTTACAACACAAAGACTCGCTGATTGTATTTTCCAAAACATTTATTCATGACCTTGCAAGTAGACTAAGAAATATATTTGACAATTCAAATTACAAATTCAAGCAAGGAACAAATATAACATTTTGAAATGGTATTTAGTGTACATGTACGTGATTAGAGAAATCCACAATTCAAAGTAATTACTAATTGGGGAAATCCCCGTCCACTCAATAATTGAGCACCAATTAATCATTTTATCTCATTTGCTCTTTACGAAACTTGAGTAAATATAAAGAAAAATAACCCCTTCACCTCAAACATAAACATTAATAATTATTTTTAAAAAAAATATTAGGGAAAATATATTTACTTTCCTTCACCTAAATGACCGTCACACAAATAGACCTACGTGAATTATCTTAGTACACCTTTAAAATTAATTTCGTTTTCTCTTTGTAGTGTCCCCAAAACTGGGATTGACCAAAGTGTTAGAAAAAAATATTCTCTCTCCTTCACGGCTAAAAAAAAGTGTCCCTTTAATAAGGGTATCCCAAAGAAGGTGTTCTACTGTAAGCCTTAACTATGCCAGACAATTTTGTATACTTGCTTACAAAAAACATGACTTTTTTGCATGAATTTCTGGGTGCTTTGTCTTTTGAGAGTAAAATTATTTGACACTCACCCCACCCTAAAAACGGGACGGCAATAAAAACATGTTTGTTATAATTTTGAACGAAATAAAATATATTTTAAAGGAACAGTATTTATTATGATCACCCGAAAGGTGATAAATGTGTGCTGTGAAATATTCATGTACAACTCATGTCTAAGATAGACCTTTCCGAGTGTCAATCAAACTTAACTGGCCAATCAGAACAAAGCCAGGAATATGTGCGTGCAAATGGGTTGTCCCACAAACGCTCATGTTTGCTTATGTTTTTACACTGTATTTTTATGGGACCTTAGCAACAATATCCAGGGGGCGGGGCTTAATTAGCAGAAAGGTCAGAAAGGTCCATTATTTAGCTCAGTAATACCATGGAGGAAGAAGTTTAGTTATTCATCCATGGTAATACCAGGCAGTGATACAATTCCTCCTATGTTCTGTATTGTTTTATTGCTTGTAGAGAACATTATATTTTTGAAAAATTAAAATTACTTTATTAAACAAAAAGATATATATATATAAATATTTATTATGAATTGTTTATAAGAAAACATAAACATCATTTAATTCATAAAAATAAAATTATTTTTTACGTTGAAATAATGCAATGTATTGCGTTTTCCATTTGAACATGGAAACCTGTAATATAATACAAAGTGATATATTATTTGGATACGTGTATTCCAAATATACTTATTTAAATTGATCTAAATGCACAGGGAAAATTGACTATGCAGAGGTGTAGGCACTGGGTGAAATAAAAATTATATAGCCACTAATTTTAAACATTGTAACAACAGTTAAATCATCATAAGCCAGGCATAGACTCAACAGGTAAGGCGAGACTTTGCATACCTTGTTTTTCGCGAACTTATTTTTTTAGAGATCGTCAGAAGGCAGAAAAAAAACTACAATAAAATTTTGTTTTCTCATTTAGCAAAAAGATTTTGCCAAAATCACCCAGGTGGAGCAGAAAATAAAAATGTTATTAATGAATTAAGGCAAGACTTTTTTCATACCTTGTTTTGCAAAACTTTTTTTTTTAGAGATCATCAGAGGAGGGTGGAAAAAAAATTAAAATGAACTTTTTTTCTCATTTTAACAGCAAAATCATTTTTCCAAAACCACCTAGGTGGAGGAGAAAATAAAAATGTTAATTAATGAATTAAACAGTGTAGTAATGAGGTTGACAAATGCTATAGATTTATATAATTAAGAAATATATATATATATATCATGTTTTTGGAGATTTCAGGGGAGCGAAGGGTGTAATAAAAATAAATATAATTTAATTTTTTAAAGAAATTTCCTTTTTTAGTGGTTCAAGGCCAAACTGGCTAAAAAATTAAATTTCAATTTTATTCAAAATCACAATTTTTGGCAGTATATACCTAACAAGGTATAAAAAAGTCTTGCCTAAATGTCAATGTTTGATCAAAATGCGATATTGTTGAGAAGGGTTAAGAATGCTCGTTATTTTCTGAGGTAGATTGGGTACTATATAAATCTGAATACTAGTATTAGTGTTATGTGTATTTCTATGATTGTTGAATGATGGACAATGTTGTACTGTACTTCAAGATAGTGTCTGATCCAACATAGTTGACAGAATGGTTACATTTCCATCATGTCTCATTAAACATTGCAGTGGTGGCACCTGTTGGGGGGAGGGGGTGGGGAAGGGACATTCAGGGAGACAAACAAATTCATTGTAAAGAAAAAAAACTCTATGTAATTTTTACATAAATGTGAGAGTTTACAATTGATCTAATAAGTCTTTTATTCTTTACTTATGGGGAAAAACCCCTCCCCTACCCGAAGGGAGGTAACTCATCCCACAACAAGGTTCTGGGCTGTTCCTGGCCCCACCTACTTATGCTACCATCGGATTCATGGGACCCTGTGTCAAACAAATCTTGGTGCCACCAGTGAAATAAATACAGAAGACAAATATTTTCTCAAGCTTACAGTCCTTATAACTAAAGGGGGCAGTATTCATTTAATCATTTATTAGTGCAGCCTATTATTTTTAAAAATATACTGTTATTATTAATACCTGGGAGGAAACTCAAACTCAATAACATGTTAAACACCTCATTTAATAAATAAATTAGTTGTAAGCTTCGAATGAGTCAGAGATCAAATGACTATAGCTTTAAGTGGTATGAAAATATTTACTTGTTCTAATTTCACTTAATTGGCCTACAAATTTAAAAAATTCAAATATTGGAATAATTGTGTAATAAGTGTATTACTTATTTATTAGCAGATATGGGTATGATATTGCTATCCGACACCCTCTTCAACCAAGTTTAGTTTGGCTGAGAAGTTATCATAAAATATAGTTACCACATAATTTTCCTATTGCTGATAGAGTACTAATTTGTACTGGTGTTTAGATGTGTTTTGCCGTTGATGTGCATAAAGCTTAAACAAGCCTGTTTACTATTGATCACACAACGCTGATAGGCCTAGCCAAATGCAGGCAAGTAGTTTGAGCATCCTTGTTACAGGCCTATGGATGGCGTCAGTGAAGATGTCCGAAGGCTACACCTAGGCTACGTCTAGGAAGGCACATGCTTGACGATATGACTGGAATAACTACCAAAGTCAATATACTGTACAGTATTAGATAATGGAAGTAAGATGTTTTGCTGAGTTCTATGTAAATATAGTACTGAATAACTACAGTATCACCTGGAACAATACAAAAAGCATCCCAAGGGCAAAGGGATAACATAATAATAATAATAATAATAATAATAATAATGATAAAATAATGATAATAATAATAATAATAATAATAACAACAATAAAACAATAATATCCAAATAATACAGACATAGATGGAATGTAATCTGGATATACAAAAATTGTCCCTATAATAAATACATACAACTCGTAATTCATATTAGTGTACATTGTAATAAACACAATGTTTTATATTGAATACAATAGTGGATCTTTTTAGTGTATTTTTGTGCATAATAAGCCAGGTATATTAGTTATTGTGACAAAATGGTTAAGCTGTTTGTTAAGCTTAATACAGCTTTACTATGAATCAACAGTTTAATCAATCATGTCCTAAAGTTTTAGTTCTATAAATGGTCAAAAAACAGTTATTTCACTTCACTTTGGTAGTTAAAAAATGTGTGCACAAGATAACTTTGGAAAGTGAATTCTCAAATTCACCTTTATCTTTCCAGGAGTACTTTAATTTTACTCCTGAATAACTAAGATGCCTGAAATGTCCACTTTAAATCAATGACCCAATCTTTTCAGATCAGAGATCCAAGATCTGAGTTTTCTAGACACCCGGTTATATACTCAAGTTTCCGAAATTAACAATACCTTGAATTTCAATTTGTGCTATAACTTAGCCTATTTGCCAGAACATGTAGTATTTGTCTAAAGGCATGTTGTGCCTTATTTTATCAAAAAACATACAATACATTGTTTCCTAAGCCAGGCATACCAGATAGTGTCTGTCAGATATTGTCAGTAATATATGTGACCCAAGCTCACAAACGGGCTGTAAACTCGTCCTCAGGCCAAAATGAGTTTTTGTCATAATGGTATAAAACATATCATTTACTTTAAAATGACAGTTAAATGAACTCAATCGGGTGTCTGGAAGTAAAGTTATGACCGTTTGAATAATTGTCATCTTATCAACTTTCTTAAATCAAGTTTTGAGAAAAATGCTTTTATTTTCGGCAGGTTTCTATTCATTTTTCATTAGCTTCCATCCGAAAATGGCTAAATTTTACCTCTTACAATTGGAATTTTAAACTCAAACCTTAGGAATAGTAAGATTAATAGTTATACTTTATTTATTACCCAATTCACACAAAATTCACATTCTACGCCCTATTCTGGGTATTGAGGCTTGTTTCTCAATACAGTGCAGTGCGAATGTACAGCCCGTTTGTGAGCTTGGGTCACATATAAGCAGTATATCTGACACGGATGATATTTTTTTTTTGAGTTATGATTTGTGTAATTGGAAGACATGGTGCTTAAAACATCTGTTCCACAAGGTTATATGACTTTGTTTTGTTTCTTTGGTACCACAACTATACATTTGTGATAAATTCAAGACTAAGCTAAGACTTAGCTAACTTGAAAAGCATTGTCTCTGAATCAGTATTTTTGGTATGTTTTTGTAGAATGCCTATTCATTTACACAACACATTTTAGATGATCAGTGAGGATGCCCTCTAACCCAAATTTTTAAGCTAGGTGAAATGCATTTATAGCCAGTAAAATATACACTTTGTAAGAGTCAAAGGGTAACAGATAATACATGGTGGACTTACATTACTCATATCAACACCAAAGGAAGTTAAAACATACTTCAACCCATTAACAATCTGTAAGAGATACTCGAGGAGACAAATCTGCAGGTGATGTCACATTTATAGTCTTACCATTCATGTGTTTTCATCCTACAAATATATTTAATAACATATGCAGTTCAAAATCATTTGACTCAATCTGGTAGGGAAATAACCTAAACATTCCATTTCAAAATTTCATTTAACAAATGTTCTGCAATTACATCTTAGTAATCAACTAATAATATTACTGTATTACCTTAAAATATTATTACTGTACTGTACTGTACTGTCATAATTTGACATTCTAATCCTATAACTTAAAATTTCCATAAAACATAGATTTGCAAATGTTATGCACAAGGGTTGATAGGGTTTTGGTTGTGAATGTACCAGTAGATGGGAAATACACGTACTACTCTGTCTTCCAAACCTTATTTAGAATTTTGACAACTTCTTCATAAATAACAAATACAATTGCCACGTCTAGACAGACTCTTGATAATCTTGGTACTGTTCCTTTGTAGAATCTAAAAAAAATATATATAAAATATACATATGGTTGAACAGCATTACTATGAGGAGATTCGGTTTCACATATTTACCAATCCAGCAACAAAATTCAAGGGGGTGAGAGCACCCTCACCTCGACACTATGAGGTATTAGAGATTGTTTAATACCACTTATAGCACTTCAAATGTATATTTATATGGGTGAAATATACTAAATTGTTCACTGTTAATTATCTCAATTATTTTTTTCTTTTTTTCTTTCTAAAAACAGCACCACACTTCTGTCCTGACCACTGACCACATCAGCCCAATTAAAGAATAGGCCAATCAGCCACTGTGTAGTGTATCTAGGGGAAACACCCTTCAAAAAAACTCACACTCCACAAGTTTCCCCCGCCTCCACCCCTACCCACCATTGAATATATCCGAAACAAAACAATTGCACTAAAGTAGTTAAAAATCACCTCATATCACCTTATTTTGCATCATAGCAGTCCCTCACAAAGTCATCCAGGCCCCCACCACTCCACCTTTGCATCCCCCACCCCCATCATCCTCCCCAGTTCTCCTAGGTACATCACTGATACCATCATGCAACCTTTTACAAGTGTATGTAAACCTTGGTACTTACGCTTTGGGACCTTCATTCTTCATTATTTGAGTTGCACAGTGCCAAGTATTCCTGTACTTGCTAGCTTCAAGACCCTAAATAAGAATCAGATAAACAACAAATGTTGCATAAATACGGTGAATTGGTCAGCACATTAGGAGACAATCCCTTCTATTTTCCGAATACTGTGGAGACCAGTTATAGGTGTGGTTTGCTATTTGTACCTTGCATTTTAGTATTTCAGCTGGAACACAACAAGAGCTGTGACAGAATTGAGCCAGGGAAGAAAGGTCCCTTGATGCAATTTAGCCCACACACAGTGGCTACCACCAGTTTGAGCAGCTCTCTCTAAAAAGGAATATTTTCTTCACCTTTCTAAAAAGGAATATTTTCTTCACCTTTCTTCTGTTCCCTACATTCCACATTTTATTAACATTGTTCCCTACGAATATTAAGAAATCATATGGGAGTGTGAAAATGAGTGAAATATTTTAACACAGCAAGAAAAATACTAACCTGCATTCGTGTTTTGATCACGTCTAATGGCGTATTTCCAAACACACTACACGCTCCCGCAAATCCGCCAAACATTGCAGTGATAATTGGATTGATATATTTATTTGGGTCACCACCTCTATACCACTCACGAAGCGAGTCCATCACGAAGAAACGTATGGCTTGGTTTGATCCCTGCTTCATTATAGTTGCAGTCAGACCTTGATAAGTACCCCTTATTCCTGCAGAAATTCAAGAAAGCAATACATTCATCTTGATTTTGTTCACAAACTTATCACAGTTACTGTACGAGGCTTAACGTCAAAAGGATATTAGGGTTGTTGCTTAATAGAAACAAGAAATTTTACATTAGAATGGTTAGTTAAAAATATGCTGAACAAATGAAATAATATCAGGCTTGCCATTCAAAAACCAGCGTACTGTAGCTAATTGTTAAACTGAGTAATTAACATATTAGAATGTGGTAGTATTGTATACTTTACGACAGGGAAGCGGTAATGCTTTTACTCATAAAATTGAGTAAATGACACATCATTTTAATGCTTTCACGTATTCTGTCGGAAATGTGATACAGATTTCAATTCCACCAGCAATGCCACCTATTAATTTAAAAAATAGTAAAATAACAATTAAAGTAAAACTATACAATAATGTTAATTAGTACAATTAATAACAATATCACCAGAAACAACACAATTATACCTAAATTACAGTGCTCAACAAAGTACTGCAGTTCTTCTAGCGTGAGCTCACCCTCTTGAACATGAAATTAGGCTGATTTTTTGGGGTTGGGCTTATACCCATGGAATAAATTCCACACAAAAAGAATTATGTTGAGTTTATTGGGAGGTGAATTTGTTAGGGGGAGATGTGTATAAGAGACAGATTAGAATGTGGTAGTATTGTATACTTTACGACAGGGAAGCCATGATGCTTTTACTCATAAAATTGAGTAAATGACACATCATTTTAATGCTTACAATGTGGAAAGTAAGAATATTAAAAAGTCAAATTTTATTTTTTGGCCTCTGATGCTGGTTTTGGGATGGCAAGCCTCATACAAAAAGATTACAGTACTCAGTGGTGTTACACGACTTATCCCCCTGCATTTCCACCAGTTACTTGCTCCTGGATATGCTGGCCCCAACCAAACAATTTAACTGCCCCCACACCCACACACACACACACCCTCCCCCCACACACACACCCACACACACTTAATCCTGTCACTTCACTATTGGACAGAAAATGTAGATAAAGTGGTTTTCCTAGAAAATTGTTGATCTCTTACCTTGCTGCTTCACAATTTCTCTGACACCGTGCATAAACCCTCTGTATTTCGGCTTAGCCGACGTTTGGTCATTGATAAACTTAACCTTAATTGTCTCCATTGGTGTAACTGCAAGAATAGCTTCACTAACTCCGGCACCGAGACCACAAAATAAACTACCAACTTTACTCAGACTTCCATCATGGTGTGACCTCCACTGTGTCTTTAAGAATTCATTAGCACCAAACCTTTAGGTTAAAAAAAAAAAAAAAATTACATAATGTTTCCAGTGAGTATTTAGCCGAAAGATAGAAGAGCAAAACCAAAAACTCTATGGAACACCAGAAGATCTACGAAGGACAGCAGCCTTCATCACAGATACTGGTATCATCATCTAAATGAGGTGAACGAGGAAGAAGAAGAAGAGCTATTCATAAACAGTATTTTCATGAATACACAAGTGAGGGCACACTTCAAACCCTAGACTGAAGTATACTGTAGGTAAATTCATATACCAGTTATATATTTACCAGCTATATGAAGTAGGTAAATTCATATAGCTGGTAAAACATACACTTTCTTAAAATTATCAATTTAAAGTAATATAAAATGATTCAATAATGCTAGTCATTTCTGCATCATTGAAAAATTCATCTGGATCCACTTAATATTCAATGTTGCATTCTTTCATGTTTTGATATAAAAATATTTGTAAACTTTACTTTCTTACACTACGTAAAAACAAAATGACGACCGAAGGCACAGATCAACCTCAAAACACCGAGGTGACGTCATCAATAATTTTTCCTAACATCAACAGTACACTTAATCTGGTGAATCACCAGCGAAACGCTGTGCTAAGTAAACATATTAACAATTTTTTTGATCAACAAAAAAGAAAACAAAATTGAATATTTCTGCTACAGTTGTCATCATTATTATAATTTTTATTGTTGTTTGAATCTTTATTACCTCGGCCAAAGAGGTTATGTATTCTGTACTGGTGTCTGACTGTCTGTCTGTCTGTCTTTCTGCCCTGTTAGCAAACACGGAAAACTAATGATAGATCATCATACAATTTAGTGAAATGGTCAAAGGACAATGTCAGAGTCATGGAAATTTGATTATTTACCCTCAAGCATAATTTTGGTACAGAGCCATAGTAAGAGGCTTAATCCTCTACATAGGCTTGAAAAACCAGGCTACAAATTATATGGTGGTAGACCTGCTTACCTTACAGCTGATTTTGGTACAGAGCCATATAGTAAGGGGCTTAGTCCTCTGTAAAGGCCTCTCACTCCATGGTTTTGAACAGTGTGTTTAGCACAGTGGATTGGTCCCTTGTACATGGGCTTTGAAGACCGTTCATCAAGTTGTAACTGTGTTTTCACGTATTCTGTCGGAAATGTGATACAGATTTCAATTCCACCAGCAATGCCACCTATTAATTTAAAAAATAGTAAAATAACAATTAAAGTAAAACTATACAATAATGTTAATTAGTACAATTAATAACAATATCACCAGAAACAACACAATTATACCTAAATTACAGTGCTCAACAAAGTACTGCAGTTCTTCTAGCGTGAGCTCACCCTCTTGAACATGAAATTAGGCTGATTTTTTGGGGTTGGGCTTATACCCATGGAATAAATTCCACACAAAAAGAATTATGTTGAGTTTATTGGGAGGTGAATTTGTTAGGGGGTGAGTCTGTTAGGGGCGAGTTTGTTAAGGAATGACTAATGAGAGTGAACTTTGTTAGAGAGTTTGCATGGGGAAATTTTGTACTTTCAGGATTGTAAATGGTTTGGAGGGCGTGTAAAGGACAGTCTTGAAAGGCAAGTTAAATGGTATCTCACAGACACTATCCTAGGATCTATGATACCACTGGCAGACAGTTGGTAAATAAAATCTTATCTTGCCAAAAGTAAGTCTGCTACTTTCAGTGACCTCATGAAATATTCTACCCTATTGCACTCATAAACATTCATTATTTGTATATTAGATACCTTAATAATGTTTAGGTTATCACTAGTTAAATTTGCAAATTCAATTAGATTGAAACTTTAATTGATCTCTTGTGAGATTAGGTACACACATTGTACAGTAAGTGACAATTGGAAATTAAGGGTCTGTCAATTTTTACTATATAGAAAGGAGTTCATGACCAATGATCACTCAGCTAGCTATATATATATATATATATATATATAAATAAAGGTGATGCTGTATAGGCAAATATACATACAGTAAATAACGAGTCAGATGGTATCAGATATATACACATCTAGATGTGTATAAGAGACAGCACCAAGCCTATTGTTTCTAATCATACTTGCATAACTTTTCTACCCTCACTCACTCGCCACTGAGGAAGGACTATGTTGACCGAAAACTCTGGTTCTATCATGTCTGGCTGTCACTTTATTCCAAAATTTGTAGAGTCTCTGATCGTGGCTTACGCAATTATTAAGAACGTAACAGAGAATCAAAATAACATTTTCCACAAATTTCTTTTGCTGCCAACCTCAAGCAAATAATCAAAATCATTAGAGTTATACATCTGTAAATTTCTAGATGTTAAATTTCTAGAGTGTTCTTAAAGTCAAGCTCTGAAGGAAAAAAATTGTTTATATGTCACAGTATGTTGTACAACTGATACAAAAGATACAAAAATCATATTTGACAAAAAAAACTTGGTAGTGGGATACAGATTTTTGAATATTTGAACTTGGGGAGGGGGGGGGAGGTGAAAAAATGTGTAGTTACAGCCCTTTTTTCCCCAGATTTTTATATATTCAAAATCTGTATCTCATTAACTGCTTTCGAATTTGTCGTTAAATATGGTTTTTGTGTCTTAGAAAAATTAGTTGTACATTACAACATATCAAAACAATGTTTTCCTCCGATGCCTGGCTTTAAAAGATTACTTCAGTGCTTTCCTATGCGATATTTTAATTGATCAGAATGCACAACAGCAAATACCATTTATGCAGGTGCATCCTTGCTCATTTTAAGTACAATATATGACCAAGTATAATAGACCACCTCAACTTGCATCAGGTAATTAAATGTAAACTACTGATTAATTCTTCTTGATTTAAACCAATTTATGCTACTTTCTTGTGTAAGTTCATCAATTAATAATTATAATACTCAAGAATTCTTTATTTACAAATATTTATTAAAGTAGGCCTACAACGAAAAAAAAAAGAATGAACAATCAACAACAATTAAAACATTCAATAAAAAAAGGCACACACAAAATATGAATTAAACAAAAATCAAATGTACTTAATAATTATGATTAAAATGAAATTAAAGCAAATAAACTCATTTGAATGTCAATTAAAGTCTGAAAAATAACTTTTTAAAATATCACACAAGTAAATGCTACTGGGAAAAACAAATTTAATTGCAAAAGAAAAAAGCTAACCAGAGAGTCAAAGTTAAGCAAACCTCACTTTTTATGTAATTATCTAAGTTAGCAGATAATAATAATGAAAGAACACCAGTGATAATGTAATACATTGTTATTTGGTATTTTAAGATATGTAGACTTTTAATTTAGATTGTTGATCAATAAACTGTCTATGGGGAGTACCAGCAAGAATTCTTGTGTAAAGTTTTACTGGGTGACTTACGAATAGTGCATGGCATACCATCATAAAATCCTAAATGCAAATATTCAATACTGAGATGGCTTCAATTATGTATTGTTACATGCTGTATAGTAGTAATTTATTTAGTAAATTGTAACCTTATCATTTCACCTTCATTGAGCACAAAGTTCCTACTCCCCAAGTGGGGAAAACTCTTAACTGGTGCTGTACCTTGCATTATTTACTAATTTTTGTTTTAATCAACTTTCCAATAAAGGCTCCTCCAGACACGTAGTTATCTTAAGAATCAATAAAACTAAGTTTTATAGCAAAACTGAAGTTTAAGATAGTATAATACATATTCCAAGTATCGAAATGCACGTCATCATGTCAGGATTCAATATTTCGACATTAATTATGTCATCATCAGGATGATCACCATTCCTGATAATAACATAATTAATGTCGATTATTGAATCCCGACACGATGGCATGCATTTCGATACTTGGAGTGTGTATAACATACTATCTTATCTGAGATTAAACAGTGGACTTTTCGGTTACTGAAGTTTAAGGTTAGGGTCAAGCTCCAACATTCAACATCTTGGATTCGTGTAAAATCGGCAATTTCCACAGTGTAGAATTCATTGTGGCTCTTAAAATTTCAAAAAATTCATAAATTACCTAAATTTAATCTAGAAAACTATAGATTATTTAAATTCATGTCAATGAGGTTAAATAATAATTAAGGCTAATATAATGTCATGATGATGACTTGATGCAAAACAATAAGAAATTAGGCCTTTCATGTATAACAAAATTAGATCTGCTGATTGCTGTGTCATGATCCTTGCTTGATTGTAAACAGGCTGTAAACACCTATTCTATAGCTATACCTACTTCCTCTTTTAGATAGGCCTTGAGAGGGCATAGAAAGTAATTAAATGGTAGCTGGTCAAAACGGCAATAATAAGTACCGAAACGGCAATGACATGACTAAAATGCCAAACTTTATATTATTGTATGTTGTTATATTTTTATTAGGCCTGTTATTATTACTATTATTATTATTATTAATTATTATTATTATTACTATTATTAATGTTTTCTTTTGCATTTTTTACTTCTATGACATAAATTGTTTTAGCCTAATATTTTATATATTTTTAAGTTTTATTTGTTTATTTTGGTTTAATGCCGTTTTGACTTTACTGCTGTTTTGGTCCATTGATTGCCGTTCTGGTAAAAAAGTGTTGCCGTTTTGGTTTATTGCCGTTTTGGTTTCTTGCCGTTTTGGTCAATGCTGTTTGACATACTGGCGTTTTGGTTTATTGCCGTTTTGACAAGAAAGTAGTTAATACTACTTACTTCTAGCCTAGGCCTCGGCCTGCTATACAAACTACATTACTAACTGTCTAGAGGCCTAGCCTAGGCCTAGCTAGGGATTATGACCGGTTGAGCCGCCGACAAGTTGAGCTAGCCTAGGCCTAGGCTGGACCCTCTAGTCTAGGCCCTAGGCCTGATCTTTTTCTCTAGGAATTCTACTTTTTACATCTCCTCCACAAGGCCTAGCTATTTGTTTGAATGTGGTTCAAAAAGCAACTAACGGTGATTCCAACTAACTAGGCCTTATTATTAGCCTGGCTTAGTTAGGCCTAGCATAGCTTAAATTAAGCTACTACGACAAGAGGCCCTGCTCTATTTATATGTTGGTATACATGCCTAGGCTTACTAGGCCTAGATACGGGCTGAGCATGATTGAGTAAGTTAACCAAAACCAGCTGAGACTCGTTGGAGGAGGTGTGTCACAAAAACAAGAACTTCAATTGGGTTCACTTAAATTCCACGTACCTGCAAGAATGGCCTTGCCTGGGTGGGTCTTCTTTCCACCAGTTCGTTGAGGTGCCGAAGCAGCCATTACCTGCCGTGGCATTGCAAGTGGAATATTTTGACTATGTGGTTGTAATCTATCCATCGTTATACAGATCCGTTGAAAATACCGAATTGTACTGTATCAATACAGTCTTGAATTAAAGTGCACTATCCTATTCCTAGGCCTCCCCTCCTGTTCGATCTCCTGAGAGTCGCGCGATCGATCAGCGATATGATATGAAAATAATTATAGACGTATTGAGCCAGACGGCAAGAAATCCAGAAAGGGCCCAGATGATGAAGCCTATTTAGCTACACAACGTCATGAATTTCAACCAATCAACAATGTGAATCTATTGTTTTTGCTAGCAACAGACTGAACCAATAATATCAAGGTAACGTTATATATGTAGTTACATGTTAGTTACTTTTTTCTATAAATCATTTAGAAGATGTTTCCAGAAGGCACAATAAAAATATTTGTGATATTACATCCAATACTTTAATTCACATGTACTGCAGGTATATGTGCAGTACATTACAGTGTACAGTATACTACTCGAATCTACAAAATGGTATGGTCCATCTGGTTGCTATGTACACACACTTCTCCCCATGTTACACGCGTAAGAAATAATAGAAAACATAAGCGACAGACGTGTGTTGTTAGGTCTCGTTGTGGTGTTCCGTTTTACTGTCAATTAATGTAAGTGTTTTTGTACAAAATAATAAGGTAGTATGTGCCTGGATTAAAGTGGAAGTTAGTAAGCCAATTCGTTATAAATAAACGGGTAGTAGGACTAGGTATAAGCGTCTCTTCTGGAGAGGAGAGGTCTCATGTCAGGAGAGGCCCAAATGAAGCAGGGGCACGCCGATGATAGTGCTGAAAAGCAACGGGCAAGTGCAGAGAGATTGATTGCAGAGAGTGATAGCTGTCTCTTATACACATCTAGATGTGTATAAGAGACAGATGTACACACACTTCTCCCCATGTTACACGCGTAAGAAATAATAGAAAACATAAGCGACAGACGTGTGTTGTTAGGTCTCGTTGTGGTGTTCCGTTTTACTGTCAATTAATGTAAGTGTTTTTGTACAAAATAATAAGGTAGTATGTGCCTGGATTAAAGTGGAAGTTAGTTAGCCAATTCGTTATAAATAAACGGGTAGTAGGACTAGGTATAAGCGTCTCTTCTGGAGAGGAGAGGTCTCATGTCAGGAGAGGCCCAAATGAAGCAGGGGCACGCCGGGTGGTGGGAGGCCCTAGGCCTAGCCTAGGCATCCTCGTCAAGTGGTCAAGAAGACCCACCCCATCGGCCAAAGCTTGTCGGGCAGTCGGACCAAAAAAAAAAAAAGGCCTAGTTTTCCCATCCCAGCCATTTCTGGTCATTTAGAAGTTCCAATTTTTTTTTTTTTTTTTTTTTTTTT